CTGTGGTATGTGAAATCAATTAGGTCAGGAGTAAGATGGAAACATATTGGTGATATTGTATGAGAAATGCTCTATGATATATGTTAACAAATGTTGAAAATATAGACCACTGAAAGACTTCAAGATATCGTGTCAGATTCCGTATAAAGCACTAATGAAGAGTTCTACATAATAACTGAGTACCTAATCGAGAAATCCCATGTAGAGTATGTAATTTTTCTAGAATTTTCACATGCATTGATTTTATTTAGTTTATTACGTGATATCAACTATAGTTAGACTATTCTCATCTTAGAAATTTCCTCTGCTTTGTCACGTGATAATCTGATAACAGAGATGGAACATCACATCAGACAAGAAAATAATATTTCTAGATCGTAATAGAAAAAATAATTGAAACGCTCTCAGGTTACTGTTATCATAATAAAGGAAGTTGTATATTTTCAGAGCAATTTTCATAAACAAAGATTATAGAATATTTAAAATTATTGGTTTAGTTCACAAATACACGTTTTCCTTCTTATTCTAATTTAATAATCTAAAAGGTGAGAATAGCCAAAACGTTGACATTTTAGCAGAACTAAAAACAAAGAATATGATTGTCAAGATTGCCAACCTACTACGAGTAACTTAAAACGCTCTGTTATTGCGAAAATTGGGAGGATTTCGTTGTTATTTACGCAATGCTGTCACACAGTCACACGTTTATAGAACAGCGAGGGAAGTGCCACTCATACCGTCACATAGTTTTTCACTACGTAAGTGAGTGAGAGGACCAAAGAGAACGTTTGACATTTAAACCGGGTTGGTAAATACGGAGAGTAGACCTAGGGGAGTGGTAAAATCTTAATTTCAAACCAATGATGCACTAGGGAATCCAAGATCTAAACATTTAGGGAGCATCTCAGAACACACAATTTAGATGGTGAATAATTATGATGGAATGAATCACACTGCAGTCAAATAAAGTTTATTATTAGCAAGTAAAGAACTAAAGACAGACAAATCATTCTATTTAACCTCATTATCAATAAAATGTATCGGAATCGAAATAACATCACTTACTATCCCAAACGAATCCAGGGAGGCTTAAATAAAACCAAATAAACACGGGAAAACTGGTAATAAATTGTTTAAATCCCTGAAGTATCAGCAATTTGTAAAATCAATTCGTATGTAATGTCATTGGAGAGATTATCTAAAATAGGCATAAACTTTGAAAAACTGCATACTGATCATTGTGTTTAGGATAATAATTTTTTTAGACAATAAAAACCCCACAATACACCAGTAAGCTTAAAGAAAGCAACTACGCTAAAATTTCCTAACACTATTTGACAAATCCAATCTTAATATGCATGTAATTAATTTGCATCGCCCATTCAATGACGATTCAACTTAGCATACGTTATTTATATATTCTGCCTTCACAGTATGTGTAGTGACAAAAATAACATTCATGAATTGTCACTTCGTGATCTAAGGAAGATCTATGCGTTAAGGTTTCGAAAACATCTACTGTCCTAACAGCTTAGTTTTGTACCTGGATGATCGAATCTTAATGATATGTAGAACTTTTCTCCAGCCTTTAAACAAAGGCCTGAGTCAAATATTATTGATTTATGTAACATCGGTTTATTAGAGGTGATCATAAAGCGTTTGATGTTAGTTGAAACATTAGATGAAGTGTTAACCAAAACAAAGGGTTTAACAATTATGTTCTCTTAGAATAATCAACTAGGTTTGTTTACCAACAGCGGCTCAGATCGGAAGTCATGTCAGCTTCTCTCTTAGATCTCACATCTTCCATTGACCATCTGAATTTTTTAGCAATGCAAATACGATCTATCTGGTTCTCTGTATTGTGATCCGGTGAAATCTATGCAACTTTTTGCATCCGTTTGTGGGGAATATAGTGCCACCTATGGCCGATCTTTGAATCCAAATAAGTCTACAAATCTCTCGCCAATCTTATTCCTTCCTCTCAGTCCATGCTATCCAATGGTATCTTCATATTCAGTGTTATCTATTCCGACTTTGATGTTCAGTTCTCCCTTCAAGATGGTCAGACCCTTTTCCGAGCACTTCGCCACGATCGATTGCAGCCTCTCATAAAGTTGATCTTTATCGTCGTCATTGATGGGTACATAACATTGGATAATATTCAGTGTGACTCCCTCCTTCTCTGTTTTGAAGGTCGCTTTGATGATCCTGAGTTCATGAGATTTTCATCCTATAAGTGCTTTACATGTTTCTCTGACCAGCATCAGAGCAAATCCCTGAGTGTGTGGAGCATTTTTCTCTTCATGACCAGAGCACGGCAGTACCTCTCCCAAATCTAATCTTTTCTGCCCAGTCTGCATCCAATGGGTTTCACTTATTATGAGAACCGCCTACTTGTATATCCTCATTTCCACACCTATTTGATTAGTCGTCCTGGTCTCTTACGTTGTCCATACGTTTCATGTACCTATATTAATTGTTACTCTGGTTGTTAGAAGGGGCGTCGAACTGGTGACAGATTCTCGGCCTTCACCATAAGGCCTCATAATTCTTCTAAATGAAGATCCTTCAACTCGGAGGACAGAGTTTAAATAGTTTAGATTGTTCATTCTGATTAGCGTTATTTTTTAAACAACGTTGCTTTATACGAGACATTATTGCTGACCCCATGTCCAACCCTCCTCTTTTATCCGGGTTTGGGACCAGCAGTAATCCCAGAAGGACCACAGGCGGATAAGAGATTAATTCATGAATACGAAGATGATTATGCTTTCCAACAAAATAATTAGGTTACAATATCTGCATATGACAGCTAACAATTTACTTTTAAATTTTGTTTAGCAATTTCATATAACAGAAAAAACTAACGACATCATGATATAAAATAGGATAATTGTACAATACTACAAGAGAAAGTTTATTACTTACCGTTTAGTGTTACCACGTACGCTTAATGTCTTTTATATTAGTTAGGTCTTGGAAGCGCGTACCATCAATGTCTGTGTGTATAGATCGTTCGTTTCAGAATTTATATATGCAAACGCCCCTATCCTAAAAAATAAATTGTGTGAACTAGGCGTATTTGTGCACGAATTTAAGCCTTTCATAGTATCTATGACCAAAATGTGATTTTGACGCTACTCCGGAATTTTCCGGATCGAAGTACATAAGAATTGATAAGAATAGATTCAGGAAAGGGATTTTGTGTTATATACATATACATATAAATGTTTGATATTCTGTTTGAAAGTCCCTTGATAGTAGAACTTGTGAAGTCGTTAGCTATGAAGTCACTTTTGAACGTTCTACATTTATACTCGATGTCATTTATCATTGTCCAAGCTGCTTACCTGATGATTTTATTTTAGAATATATTCAGCTACAGAGTAAAAATATAAGATACTTGATATTCTGGGATTTTAATGTATCTGTTATTAGATGGACTGAGACGGCTGCCATAGGACTTGTAAATTCTTTTGATAGTGGGCTTTTAGTGACGGTGATAGAGCATGCTTTAGTACAGCATATTTCCGAACCCACACGTTTATGTTCGAATAGAGGATCTCCTTTGTTAGTCTTAGTAATCACTCAAGCGATCAAGGATATTGCTTATCTAAATATTCTTCCACCGTTGGCCATTAGCGACTATGCTGTTTTATCATTCACATTTGCAGCTTATAACATAATATATAACCATGTTAAACCTCACTCCAATGCGTGTACAGCAAACATATCAGGCATATAAGAGTGACCTGAAAAAACTGACTGCTAAGTAAATACCAGCTCATAAAGTGAAGAAGGATGGTCTACAATTAAAGCCTAGTTACGTCTCCATTTATACTATGCTTAGTGTAGCGTAGACCAAATAACAGTCCATTATGCATAAGTGAACAGATTAGGAAATTTCTTAGTCGTTGGAAAAGGTAATGGAGTATGCTGATCTCTACAGGCTCCTAACAGTATATATCCACTTATCGTAAAACTAGGAACTCTTGCAAAGCGCTGATAAGTAAACCTAGACACTAATTTGAAAAAAACTGGTTGGGAGTTGTGAGAATAGTCTGAAAAGGCTATTCTTGTACATAAAGAGTCGAAATCAGTGAATTGATGGAATGACACCACTTCGATACAAGAAATTCATTCGAAATTGGCTATAAATGACGCTGCAAACTCTGCAGCTTTATTAGAATATCTTAGTAAAGTGTTCTCCACTAGCGATGGCGGGAGGCCAACAATTATTCACGACTACTACCAAACCTCAAACTCGATAACCCCAGTGGTTCTGACGATGTTGATCCTAGGGTTATGAAAGCCCTATATGATGTGATTACTGAACTCCTGACCATATTATATGATAAATACCCTTGAGGCAGTCTAGTCTGTCATGAGAGTGGAAAGACGCAATAGTCAGTCATACTTATAAGGCGTGCAGCAGAGACTTGGTAGCCATCGAATTGTTGGTATGACCAGTCCAGCTGTCAGAACTAATGAGAAAAAATTACTCAGATGGATATTTCAATATACGTGGAAGGGCATAATCTTTTATCCAGGGAACGACATGTATTTAGCAAAGGCCTGTCATGCCTGACAAATCTGCAAGAAATTACTGGATAGATGTAGTTTTCATTTGAAGACGCATACCCAGTATTTCAGAATAATATTACTGCATGACCCAGGTTCACTCGTTGCATGGATGGGCAGGTGGTCACTACAGTTTTCGTAACTAAATAACTGCGGCGATTCACATCAAAACACAATATGTGGAGTTGTTACCCAATCTGGCAGTCACAATAAGGAACGACTGAATACTGAGTACTTTTATCCTTTACCAACTGACGTTCAAATAGTTGCATTTTTGGCATCCATTTGAGTCATAAGTATGTAGAAAAGAAGATACTACTTACAATGGAGTATTTTTAGTTTAGCATGGGTTAATAAGAACACAATTTTGTCCACTTATAACACATTGTGTCCGTTAACTTCATTGGAGGGAAATTATTCTCAAGGTCGCCAGTTGCGGAATTTTTGGTATATGATACCAACATTGTTCCACAACATTACTCTGTTAGTTTAGGTGTCGATTTACGCAAAACTAGGCTGCTTATGTGGTGCAGAATTTGTTCCTGACCTGCTGTATACTGAAAAATAATGTCGTCAACTCAGGTAGATAAAATTAGTCACTTGTTTCTTGAATAAAATTGAAGTGTTACTTCTTGATCGATAGTTAAACTATGAACAATTTCATATGATGATAACACAAATTACTTATAAGTGAAACAACTTACTTCCAGCAACCTATAGTTTACGGGAAATATATTGTTTCCTTGAGGGAAAAACATACACAGATACTTGGTTGCTAAAGTTATTAGTTGTTGGATTATATTAGAAATTAACCCCTGAAATAAATTCTTTGTCGCATCTAAGTTCAATTACCATAAAGAATTGACATATTGTTTGCAAATTAACAAGGCACTAAAATAAGGCTACTTACTTACGCCTGTTACTCCTCGTGAAGGAGCATAGACCGCTCACCAGTATTCTCCATTCAACCCTGTCCTGGGCAATCCTGTTCAGCTCCTTCCAGCTGTTATTCACCCTTTTCATGTCTGCTTCTATTTCCCGACATAATGTGTTCTGTGGCTTTCCTATTTTCCGCTTCCCTTCAGGATAACAAGTTAGGTCTTGCCTCGTGATGCAGTTTGATGATTTGCGTAATGTCTGTCCTATCCATTTCCATCGTCTTTTCCTAATTTCTTCGTCAGCTGGAAACTTATTTGTTCTCTCCCAGAGAAGGCTGTTGCTGATGGTATCTGGCCAATGGATGTTGAGTATCTTGCGTAGACAACCGTTTATAAATATTTGTACCTTCTTGATTGTGGTTGTTGTAGTTCTCTAAGTTTCAGCTCCATACAGTAGAACTGTCTTGATGTTCTTATTGAAGATCGTGACTTTGGTGTTGGTTGAAAGTTGTTTTGAGTTCCATATGTTCTTCAACTGAAGGAACGCGACCATTGCTTTGTCAATCCTCGCCTTTACATCTGCATTTGAACCTCCTTGTTCATCGATGATGCTACCCAGGTATGTGAGGGATTCTACATCTTCCAGAGTTTCGTCATCAAGTGTGATTGGATTGCTGTTTTCCGTGTTGTATTTGAAGACCCTGGTTCTCTCCTTGTGTATGTTGAGGCCTACTGATGCAGACTGCTGCTACATTGGCTGTCTTTATCTGCATTTGTTCATGTGTATGCGATAGGAGGGCTGGGTCACCTGCAAAGTTCAAATTGTATAATTGGTTCTGAGCTGTCCATTGTATGCCGTGTTTTCCCTCAGATGTCGAGGTCCTCATAATCCAGTCGACCACCAGAAGAAAGAGGAAGGAGAGAGTAGACAGTCTTGTCCGACTCCGGTCCTTACCTGAAGTACGTATGTCAGCTGTCCTCCATGCACGACGTTGCACTGTAGTCCGTCGTATGACTTCCGGATAATGTTCATAATCTTCTCAGGAACTCCGTGGTGTCGAAGAATTTTCCGTAATGTTCTCCCATCTACACTGCCAAACGCCTTTTCGTGATCAATGAAGTTGATGTATAGTGACGAGTTCCACCCAACTGATTGTTCGGCGATTATCCGTAGTGTCGCATTTTGGTCTGTGCACAAGAAATCCTTACGGAATCCAACCTGTTGATCTCGAAGTTGGGCGTCTACTGCGTCTTTCATCCGGTTCAGCAATACTCTGTTAAAGAATTTCCCTGATGGTGACATTAGTGTAATGCCTCTGTAGTTTTCGCATTTTCTCAGATCTCCTTTCTTTGGGATATTTATGAGTTGTCCTTCTTTTCAGTCCATCGGCACTTGTTCCTCCTCCCAAATCTTTTTGAATAGGTGAAGCATGTCTATGGTTACTTCGATGTCTGACTTCAATGCTTCAGCTGGTATATTGTCGGGTCCTGCTGCTTTCCCGCTCTTGATTTGTCTGATGGCAATTCTGATTTCTTTCGTCGGTGGATTGACATCTATAGGAAGATCTGTGTGTGCTATTTCGATGTCCGGTGGATTCATTGGAGCCAGTCTATTCAAGAGTTCCTCGAAGTATTCTACCCATCTGTTCCGCTGTTGTTGAATTTCAGTGATTGGCCTGCCTTCTTTGTCTTTGACTAGTCTCTCTGGTTTACTGTATTTCCCTGCTAGATCCGTGAGATTCCCATCCTGCAAGTGCATTTCGTGCTACTTTGGACAGCATTAGAGTGACTCCCTGAGTGTGTGGAGCATTTTCCTTTTCGTGACCGGAGTATAATAGTATCTCTCCCGTAGCTAGCCTTTTCTGTCCAGCTTGGATCCAGTGGGTTTCGCTGATTCCCATTACTGCCAAGTTGTATCTCCTCATTTCCGTTGCTATTTGGCTGGTCTTCCCGATCTCCCACATTGTTCGGACGTCCTATGTACCTATAGAAATTTTCGCTCTGGTTGTTAGAAGAGGCATCGGCCTCGTGGCTTCCGAAGGAGCTCGGCTTTCACCATGAAGCGTCATAATTCTTCTAACTGAAGACCTAACTCCCAGGGCAGAGTTTAAATGGTTTGGATTTTTTTTTCTGGTAAGCGTTTTTTTAGCGAGTTAGTTTTCTACGGGATGGGGTCGCTAACCCCATGCCCAACCCTCCTCCTTTACCCGGGCTTGGGACCGGCAGTAACTCTAGAAGAGCTACGGGCAGAGTTAAAATAAGATTAGGAAATGATAATAATATTTAGTTTGCTAGACCTGGTTCGTTCCTATGCATTTTGACCTAAACCACATCGCTTAGCCTGTGGTATTTTAAAATTTTATATGTAGTAGAAAGTGTTTGCTGATTAAATGTGCTTGAGTCCATTTCTATAAATTTATTCGACTGACACAGAAGACGAACTCACCTCATTTTGCAAACTTTGTGTCTATATACAGTTAACCCTAATTTAACAGTCTGGTTTATTGATTCACCAAGGCGTAGGATAGTGTGGTTTATTTCCCACTACTTTCTGTTATCTAAAATCCAAGTAATATATATGTATTTGAATAAAATACGTATTTATCTGTCATTTAACATCCCTCATCCATTTTACTGGATGCTGTACAAAACCGTTTAGTTATTCAGATTTCTCGTTACATAATATTTAAGATACCGATTTAGTTATCACTGTTACATTTAATGATAACATATAACAGTAACAATCCTAAACCGCCAAATATTCAAAAATAATAATTTAAAAGTCAAGAGTCTAAATTAGTCGCTGGTTTGCAATGAAAATCCGCCTACAAGGATTTAAATTTGTTCTCTTTTTCGTGGCAATCAGTGAATCTACTTCTGACCTATTTAATTCACCACTGAAATTTTAGGACTTTATAGGTAGCAGTTGAACTAAAAATAAAAAGAATATGATAGAACAATATATCTTCAGCAACCGTGTTCAATTCAAAACCCGACTATTCAAATAGTTATAGGGAGCTTGCAACACTGCAATATATACAAGATTGTTATTTTTACCATCATCATTGTGCATTTACCCATTTTATATCTCTAGATACGAAACTACGTGGCGGAACTTTCTAATTTAAAGGATCAATTCAACACTCTTTCTAGCCAGTCTAGTGAGAAGCTTAAAAAAATTATTCAAACTGTCCAATCTTATCAAACACGTATGGAGCCGCTAAATAAAAATATGGAACAACTTCAGATTTTACAAAGAAGTTAGTTTTGTATTCCATCTCAAATTTTATTGTCCACTTGCAATTATTTTATTATTATTATTATTATTATTATTATTATTATTATTATTATTATTATTATCTACAAATGTTGACCAAAATTACCAGTTAAATAAATGTCTAGCTATTACATGCAGCTTTCAGTGGAGACAGATACTTCATTTACTGAGTCTTCACGTATTCGGAACTACCCTATATAATTCCTTTTTGTTAACTTTAAGTATCAATAATCTCCAGGTTGAGGTAGTAAATACCGAACTGTAGAGCAAAATATTTCTTTGCTCTCATACACCCACTAGAAGATATCTCTCTTCGGAAATTCTGACCAAACATCATCGTATGTTTTGTTTAACCTTAATATAGAGTTGTTTGAGTAGGAATTTCAATAAAAGCTAGTCTTACTGTTAAACTGCTACTGAGGCCTCATACCATATTTTTTCACATGTAGGTTTTAGGAAAGAGAATCGGGTTTTAGTGAATAAATTAAAAAATAATATTCACCTTAGTGGGTTAGAAATAGTAGATTTGTACTGCTTAATTAATAGAGTGCCATATTTTAAGTTGCTTATGTGTAACTGAGCTTCTTGGCTTTCAACCTGTAAAATAACATGTTAAGTAATTTATTTCTTAAATTTTTTTACGTTATACAGATTTAGAAGCCTGTCGATTAAAGTTAAGTCAAGTGCAAGAGTATCACCGTACCGGTCGTGAGTTGGAAAATACTATTAGACAAGGGTAATTTTACAATATATATATATATATATATATATATATATATATATATATATATATATATATATATATATATATATATATATGATTCATAACAGAAAAAAATCTGATTTCCTCTTCTTTCTACTTGTAGACCGACAGTTTTTACTGACAAATTTTTAAAGGCTATGGAACGTATAAAGGATGCGTTGGCTTATTTTCAAGAGAATAATCCACAAGATGTTGAATTTAGTCGATTGGTAAGGGGATATGAAATATTATCAATCAGTTTTCTGTACAGCTAATTATTTTCTATTGCATTTATCCTCTTTTTGCATTTAATTATTTATGTCTACGTATCTTCAATTTTTTTGGCTCCTAGACATCATTGTATTCAATTGGTTTAGGAAGCTTGGAACGTGAATTCGATGGTTTATTAAGACAAACTTTCCGTCCTATAGATGATGCTACTTTAATAAGATTAATGGATCAAAAAGGTGCGTTTTTAGTTGTTTTTAGTAAAGATCCTAATTTGTCTATTATATTTAGAATTTCAGTATAACCCATCCCTCAAATGTGTTTTTCTTTCTCCATTAATTCTGTTAATATTTTGGGAGGATAGACAAGAGTTATGAATTTAGTGCTCTCTTGAACTAATTATCAGACTGCCTCAGTCATTATGTATGTAGCACTTACTTCTGTTCGTTCAGGAAATAGTTGTTCTCTGGCTACCTTTTTTGTTATTCTGGATATACTAACTATCCAGTTTAACTTCGATAACAGGTTAGAGATAATCTTGAGTATCTTATTAATGTAATCAATTAATAGTCATCTACTATTAGACGTGCGATGTTCAGTGGTATAGGAGTAGGTTGGAAGAAAGCTAGGGGCGGCCAGACCAAAACATGGCACAAGTCCATGAAGTCACTGACAAGTGGACTGAGTCATGTCGGTAGGTGTAGACTACCTGGTTGGGGACCGCGAGATGATAGCAACCGATGGTTAGAGACCCTGAATGACACGGCTGAAAATCGTTTGGAATTGCGCAGGTGCATACACTCTTTGTGTTCTCCCAAATATTGATCTCCTTATTCCTCCTTGTCTCTTTTTTCTCTTCCCAAATTTATTTCACTGTATTATACTCTTTGAATAACATCTCCAAACGCTAATTTTCCCGATTACTGCTTATACTCTTATTACCTCTACCACTACGGGATTTGAATCGACCACTGCAAATGTGTGCTAATGTGGTATGGCAACTCGAACTGATGTACGTACGTACGAAGTTCTACGTTGTTACTGACTGACTGACTATTAGACGGAAACACAATGATTTCTTCCCTCTAGATGGAATTAAGATAGATTCATTTTTGGAAACTATCTTTGCCAAATTATTCATATTTACGGTAAGTTAGGAGATGCTGTTTTTCGTTATGAAACCACTAGACTAGAAGTTACAATAATTACGTCTAATATTATTGGTTATTGGATTTCCAACTGTTTATTCACTATCATTTTCCGTATTGTTCTGATAAATCATAAAATCCTGTTTACAAACTTGAAGTGTGCACATTCTTTCATTGTTTTGTAATTTAAACGGCGTTTTTGTAATTTTAACTTTTTTATTTGGATTTGGTGTTTTTCTTTATGAATGATAGACTTCGACCGTGAACTTGGCGTTTATTATTCTCACACCCACTAGTTGATTAAATTTAGGTGACCATCGTTACTTTAGCTCACAATGTATAATTAGTCACTTGATATACTCAGTTTTTAATCAACAGTTCACAGGTACAAACTCCTCTCGATCTACTTCAGTATAGGCGATTTGATTGGGTTGTCTAACTTTTTCATGCATTTTACTTTTAAACAGGTGGCTTGTTTCCAACTATCCACCTATTTTGTTACATCATACAGATATATCCGATGATTTACTAACTTCCAAATATAGATTTGTTCTAAGAGATATTAGTCCAACTCCTTGAGTTTGTTCCTGTTTGATGGTCACTTTTCTGTTGTATAGTTTTATAATTTACTGAAAATTCAAGTAGCTCATATGCTTAATATTTACTTAAAACTTCTCTATTTTTATTAAACTACTAATTCAATTCGGTAAGCAAGTCCAGGTTTATGTATTCAGCTTTAAGCCATACTCTTTTGCTTGTAAGACCTGATGATATTATATGGCTGTTAGATTTAGTCATAAAGTAATTTATTCACAATCCATTTTGTCAACACTAAACCTTTAAATTTTAGTCTCTGACAAAGAATCAGGTGATGGTTCATTAACTGAAGATACAGAACAAATAGAGGATATTCCAAATAATATGTTGAATAGTTTACGTTTTCTTGCTAAATGGATGAGTGAAAATCAATCATTTGTAAACAAACCACAAGGTATATCTCAAGGATGTTTGACAAAATATTGTGAATGCCGTCGTGAACTTATCCGTTTGAATTTAGTAAGGTAATTTTATGTTAACAGTGTATGTTTCATTTTATCGATTAACATAATTCCGTCTATAAAGTATACTGATAGATTTCCCTACACAACTCACTATAGAATCAAAGTTATCAAGTCTGGGAAAAATAGGCTTTAGTGTCGTGCGACAAACTGGCCTTAGCAACTTCTGATTTATGATACATCGAAAATAATAAAGATGATAATCACATTTCAGGTACGTCCTATCAGTGTCTCAATAGTTAAGGCGTTCAACGTTTAAACGCTAACCTGGTGGTTCGATCTTCTGTCCAACCTACTTCAGTCTAGCCAACGAGGTAGTATACCCAGCGCTTACTATTAGAATGTGATTGGAAGCCAAGTGTGGGAATCTGCACGTAGTAGGCGATCGGAATCCAAGCAAGTTTTGAGGTAGTCATTTCTAAATAAGTGGGGAAATATTTGTTTCATAGTTTAGGTCAGGGTTCATTAAATAAAACCTATCTAAATATGGAAATCTAGCTTTCTTTTGTGTCACAAATCCATTAAATTTTGTTTTCTAATTAATTTTTATTATTTTATACCCATGGTCTCCTTAATTCAATAATGTGTTATTTTTGACTGCCTTAATATATATGGCAATACAAGCCTATATAAGGTTTGATTTGATCAATGTTTGGTAAATCAATCGCGATAAATTTTGATATCTAAAAGTGTAAAAAATATATTCTATTGTGGTTTCATTTTCATATTATAATAAGACTATATTCCTTACCTAGTGAAAATATGGAAAGACAACTGTATAACTGGAACACTCAGTGAAATATTGAACTATTGACCACATATAGCACGCATAAGGGGCGTTGTATGAATGAAGAAATCTGGACAAAGTCACTAATCCATCTGTCATATAGGTGCTTGGCGGTCGAAATATTACGTTCGTAACCGTTAAGCTGCAGGCTTGGACTTCGCTTTGCATATCATCAGGTTTTGATGTTGATTTGTGTGGTGTAATAACTATGCCATTCATTTGAAGTTTAATTCTGTAGTGCAATATTTTTTAATGCTTAATATATGATACAAAAACATGTTACACATATGTTTTATTATTGATACTACTATTTAACGAACAGTTATCTTCCTACACTACATGGAATATTTTTAGAGTACGTGAATTATTAAGAAAAGCTGAAAATCCATCATCATCATCATCTGGCACAGTATCTGTAAGTTTATTTATTGTGTTAATCTTTACTGAATTTTCCTGATTAGATATAGATTTTGCAAAACATGTTATACTTTTTGCATATTGTTTCCAATTATTTTAGAAACCAGGATTTCTGCCGCCCAACGTACGTGGTCGCACTAAACGGTAAGTATTAAACTTTCTCTTGTAGTGTTGTACAATTATCCTATTTTATATCATGATGTCGTTAGTTTTTTCTGTTATATGAAATTGCTAAACAAAATTTAAAAGTAAATTGTTAGCTGTCATATGCAGATATTGTAACCTAATTATTTTGTTGGAAAGCATAATCATCTTCGTATTCATGAATTAATCTCTTATCCGCCTGTGGTCCTTCTGGGATTACTGCTGGTCCCAAACCCGGATAAAAGAGGAGGGTTGGACATGGGGTCAGCAATAATGTCTCGTATAAAGCAACGTTGTTTAAAAAATAACGCTAATCAGAATGAACAATCTAAACTATTTAAACTCTGTCCTCCGAGTTGAAGGATCTTCATTTAGAAGAATTATGAGGCCTTATGGTGAAGGCCGAGAATCTGTCACCAGTTCGACGCCCCTTCTAACAACCAGAGTAACAATTAATATAGGTACATGAAACGTATGGACAACGTAAGAGACCAGGACGACTAATCAAATAGGTGTGGAAATGAGGATATACAAGTAGGCGGTTCTCATAATAAGTGAAACCCATTGGATGCAGACTGGGCAGAAAAGATTAGATTTGGGAGAGGTACTGCCGTGCTCTGGTCATGAAGAGAAAAATGCTCCACACACTCAGGGATTTGCTCTGATGCTGGTCAGAGAAACATGTAAAGCACTTATAGGATGAAAATCTCATGAACTCAGGATCATCAAAGCGACCTTCAAAACAGAGAAGGAGGGAGTCACACTGAATATTATCCAATGTTATGTACCCATCAATGACGACGATAAAGATCAACTTTATGAGAGGCTGCAATCGATCGTGGCGAAGTGCTCGGAAAAGGGTCTGACCATCTTGAAGGGAGAACTGAACATCAAAGTCGGAATAGATAACACTGAATATGAAGATACCATTGGATAGCATGGACTGAGAGGAAGGAATAAGATTGGCGAGAGATTTGTAGACTTATTTGGATTCAAAGATCGGCCATAGGTGGCACTATATTCCCCACAAACGGATGCAAAAAGTTGCATAGATTTCACCGGATCACAATACAGAGAACCAGATAGATCGTATTTGCATTGCTAAAAAATTCAGATGGTCAATGGAAGATGTGAGATCTAAGAGAGAAGCTGACATGACTTCCGATCTGAGCCGCTGTTGGTAAACAAACCTAGTTGATTATTCTAAGAGAACATAATTGTTAAACCCTTTGTTTTGGTTAACACTTCATCTAATGTTTCAACTAACATCAAACGCTTTATGATCACCTCTAATAAACCGATGTTACATAAATCAATAATATTTGACTCAGGCCTTTGTTTAAAGGCTGGAGAAAAGTTCTACATATCATTAAGATTCGATCATCCAGGTACAAAACTAAGCTGTTAGGACAGTAGATGTTTTCGAAACCTTAACGCATAGATCTTCCTTAGATCACGAAGTGACAATTCATGAATGTTATTTTTGTCACTACACATACTGTGAAGGCAGAATATATAAATAACGTATGCTAAGTTGAATCGTCATTGAATGGGCGATGCAAATTAATTACATGCATATTAAGATTGGATTTGTCAAATAGTGTTAGGAAATTTTAGCGTAGTTGCTTTCTTTAAGCTTACTGGTGTATTGTGGGGTTTTTATTGTCTAAAAAAATTATTATCCTAAACACAATGATCAGTATGCAGTTTTTCAAAGTTTATGCCTATTTTAGATAATCTTTCCAATGACATTACATACGAATTGATTTTACAAATTGCTGATACTTCAGGGATTTAAACAATTTATTACCAGTTTTCCCGTGTTTATTTGGTTTTATTTAAGCCTCCCTGGATTCGTTTGGGATAGTAAGTGATGTTATTTCGATTCCGATACATTTTATTGATAATGAGGTTAAATAGAATGATTTGTCTGTCTTTAGTTCTTTACTTGCTAATAATAAACTTTATTTGACTGCAGTGTGATTCATTCCATCATAATTATTCACCATCTAAATTGTGTGTTCTGAGATGCTCCCTAAATGTTTAGATCTTGGATTTCCTAGTGCATCATTGGTTTGAAATTAAGATTTTACCACTCCCCTAGGTCTACTCTCCGTATTTACCAACCCGGTTTAAATGTCAAACGTTCTCTTTGGTCCTCTCACTCACTTACGTAGTGAAAAACTATGTGACGGTATGAGTGGCACTTCCCTCGCTGTTCTATAAACGTGTGACTGTGTGACAGCATTGCGTAAATAACAACGAAATCCTCCCAATTTTCGCAATAACAGAGCGTTTTAAGTTACTCGTAGTAGGTTGGCAATCTTGACAATCATATTCTTTGTTTTTAGTTCTGCTAAAATGTCAACGTTTTGGCTATTCTCACCTTTTAGATTATTAAATTAGAATAAGAAGGAAAACGTGTATTTGTGAACTAAACCAATAATTTTAAATATTCTATAATCTTTGTTTATGAAAATTGCTCTGAAAATATACAACTTCCTTTATTATGATAACAGTAACCTGAGAGCGTTTCAATTATTTTTTCTATTACGATCTAGAAATATTATTTTCTTGTCTGATGTGATGTTCCATCTCTGTTATCAGATTATCACGTGACAAAGCAGAGGAAATTTCTAAGATGAGAATAGTCTAACTATAGTTGATATCACGTAATAAACTAAATAAAATCAATGCATGTGAAAATTCTAGAAAAATTACATACTCTACATGGGATTTCTCGATTAGGTACTCAGTTATTATGTAGAACTCTTCATTAGTGCTTTATACGGAATCTGACACGATATCTTCAAGTCTTTCAGTGGTCTATATTTTCAACATTTGTTAACATATATCATAGAGCATTTCTCATACAATATCACCAATATGTTTCCATCTTACTCCTGACCTAATTGATTTCACATACCACAGCTTCCTTTTAAAAATGCACTCCGAGACAAGTTGCTAGTTAGCACGTTATTGTTGCTAATTAAATTAGTTTATTGTTGTTGGCAGCACACGTAGACCTTCCTATAGGTGTTAATCCACCAACGACCGAAGAAATCATGATGGCCCTCAGACAAATAAACATTAGGAAATCGCTAGAACCTGATAACATAACAGCTGGGAGGGAATTAACTAGAGAGTAAACATGGCTTGAGACCTGCTCATGAATACATCAACCACATATTCACCATTTGTCAGATTGTAGAACTCGGGCATACTCATCGGCGTCCGACAATGGTGGTCTGTTTAAACTTAAAAGCAGAGTTTGACTCTATAGACCGCGAGATTCTGTGTCAGTGTCTGTCATTAACAGGAGTACCTCAGAAGTAAATAAACCTTGTGAAGGCTCTTTACTCGAACACTACTAGTCGAGTCAGAGCTTATGGCTATTTGTCATTTGATTTCGCAACCTCTAATGGTGTCCATCAAGGCTGTCCACTATCTCCTCTTTTGTTTAATTTTATCATAGACCTACTGCTGGAAATAACGTTCTCGTCGACTGAATTTTCAGGACTTGATCTCTTACCAGGAGGTCTACTTATCGACTTAGAATGCACAGATGATATATTCCTGTTTGGTGAAGACGCTGATAAAATGCAGTCTATTGATTGCACTGAGCAACAATGCCAGAATGTTTGGGATGCGCTCCTCCCCCTTTAAATGCGAATTACTGCTTCATGACTTTTTCATTATAGTTGCACACTAATTTTATGGTATTTGCAAAGAAGAATTACCATTTCCTCAAAAATTTAAGAATTTATGATGGTTATCAAAAGAAAATTGCAATAACAAGTTATTAAGTTAGCAAATTATTCTGAATAAGATGGTTGAGAAGTTAAATTAGATGGTTAATTATTTAAAAGTATGCAGAATTGTTGATTTAATCTCGAATCAGCAGTATGTTAATCACAACTAAAATAGGAGGAAAAGGTGCGTACTTTGAACAGTTAAAAAAGGTTATCTTTGCATATTACACGGATATCAAGTAAAATTTAGTTAGTTATTGTTTGATAAACAGTAGTTATTATTAACTTATAACCGGACACTGATGTGTTTACTTTGCTTCTAGCCATACTTTAAGTGTAAGGGTTGTCAATATTTATCAGTTGCCCAAAGTGAAATAGATTGAGCAGTGTTTGGACCTGCTACTTAGTGGATGTAAGGTGAATATCTTAACCACTGAGCTGTCAACCTCCTAAGAACAGTTGAAAATAGTTTCAGTCATTGTTTATATTTTTTATTTAACAAGCACATAAATACTGTGGTTAAAATTAATATCATTAGTTTTCTAATTTTCCAGTTCAATATTCGTCTAATTCTGTAATGTACTTGAAGAAGTATTTATGTATAATTGGTCGACAACAATACCGTGTAAGCAATCATGTAGGATATAAATAATTGGTAGTAGATTTACTATTTCCCAAAAGTTCGACCTTGATCAGCCTAAAACAGGGTGTTTTCTAGTCCTATTTCGGGATTTCTAAGCTACCCGAACCCAGTTAAGTTCACCGCATTAAAGTGTACACCTTCGATATATGACTCTTAATGAAATTTCAGAAAACTCCGTAAATACTTGTTTTCCTCCTGTGTCGTCATCGGTTAAAGTAGTGATTAAAATTCAGTTTTTGTGTTGTTTCTTGGCACTGTGGCTAACTGTTTATGCTTCGTAAAGTGGTGGACATGTTTTCTTGACCACATATGCCTTAGAAATATTGCTGGGATCACCGGGTAAGTAATAGTGAGGTTAGACACAGAGTATTATGGAATGATGGTGAATCAGTAGATAAGGTTGTGAATCTTCGTCGACTGAGATGGTTGGGTCACGTGTTACGTATGCCTGAGCACCGATTACCACGACGCGTAATTCTGACTAGTGTTGGGAATGGTTGGAAGAAAGTTACAGGTGACCAAACCAAAACGTGGCATCAGTGCTTGAAGTCACTAACTTCTAGTCTGAGCCATGTTGGTAAATGCAAACTAATTAGTTGGGGTCCACGCGAATATTGTAACCAATGCTTGGAGACTGAGTGACATGGCTCAGGATCAATCACAATGGCGTAGGTGTGTGCACTCTTTGTCTTCTCTTAAACTATGAGATTAAAATCGCTTCATATGTTTCTACGAACTACTAACTATACCCTTATATGCAATCTTTCTTTTATATATTACCATCATTGGATTATCTACTTCTGTGAATCCAGTGTTCATCTTGCTGTGCTAATGTGGCATGGCAACTTGGACCGATGCATATATGTGCCTGGTTCTACGTTGTAGCTGACTGACTAGACATGTTTTCTGACTAGTGTTTAGCTCTGTGAGATGTTCCACTTCCAAAAGCCTAGTAACATTAGTGATTCCCATATAATAAATTGTGTTTACAGTTTGTTAAGTAGTTTTTTAGTTTTGAGTAGTTTCGGGAAATTGGTTTATTCCAAATTCGGTGTACTTCAGAAACTGTTCTCAACTGGAGTACCAGAATTCGATCCTTGTTGAGGTTCATAAGTGAGGACTACTGCGGAGCTCACCCTAGAACGAATAAGCTATCCAATACTCCCTGGCTTTCAGTAGTACCCGAAATGCTATCAATGGTAACGAGTATGACTTAGTAGTTTTTTTTAAAAACTATTAACTATAAATCTTGTTTCTCTTCATTGAAATATTCAACTTTATAATTCTTTTTGTGTATAACTGGTAAATATACTGTTCATTTTTTTGTTTCGTTTTCCTTTTATAGTAAATGCTGTTCGACTGATTAATGAAGCAGAAACCGATGAACTTGATTCTGAACACTATGCTATCGCTCTAGGTGTTCTTGTCAAATTAATGCAAGTCAGTGTACACTTTGAATACTGCGTCATTGATTTTTTATCGTTCTCAATATATATTAGCTGAACATCCTTTAAAGATGAGATTCTATATTGTATCTTCAGAGAACAGTGCCGCAGTGGTTAAAACAATCGATGTTCAATTACTAACTTTATTGTTTAGTCGTTCAAACCCATAGTTTCCAGCTATTTATCACGGGTTTGGACCGGGCTCCCTACAGCCTCCTGGTATCTTCTCTAATGTCCAGTACTATGTCACGCCTACACGGGTTGTTCTAGCTTTCAGAGAGTCCAAATATTTTGTTCCTCTTGAGCCATTATTCGACCTTGTCAGTTATTCGCTTGTAACCTTGACTTTTCGTATGGGCATGTGTGTGTACCGCTTACTCGCCCCTCAAATATCTTTAGCTTATTTTTGTCTAGCTTTAAATAGTGAGTCACACTTTATCAAATAGAGTTGAGACGCTTCGCTTTTCTGAGTGTTCTCGCTTTCCCGCTTCTGATTCTTAATGTCTATCTGAGTAAATGTAAATCTAAAGTAAATTCAATCCAACTTAATCTGTATTTGGCTTATTATTACCGCCGTCGCACGAATGGGCTAATCGATACGTAATATATAGAATTAAACAGATTTATGTTTGTCATATTCCTTCGTTTATACAAATCGGAGTCAAATCTCCGGTCATTCAAGTAACGATCCATCATACTTTAAACCTTACACAAAACGTCTGGTTCCAAAACCCGAATGAGTAAATGAATCATCATAAATTTTATCTGATTATTGTATCACAGGTTCAAAACCTGCTGATCACCGATACTTCATTTTGAATACGCAGCTAGTACCAATAATAATGAAGTACATGGGTTTGCATATAAGTGCTGAGTTGCATTAAGCGTATTTTTTATTTAATATAATCCCATTGTGCATTACAAATTTTTATTAAACCAGGTGGGTCATTCAATAATAGGATTATCTCTTAAGTTTTATACCTTCGATAATTTTGTTCGGGTACTAACCAGTTGTAAACCACTGAATGTAGTTTGGTTTATCGATTATAAGTCGTAAGTTCTACATTCTCCTTCGTCATCAATACCTTCAGTTGTCTTTTGATTTTTGACCGTAGTTTTTTGTTACTACTCAGTAGGAGTGCACGAGGATGTGTTTTATTTCCTAGAAAATTAAAGTAACTATCCTCCACTAGCTATTGTCATTATTTTATTTAATATTTTTTAGAATGAATGTATTTTGTTGGATCGTTTACAGTTGACTGCTAGTCCACAAGATTCTCAAGTGTTATTGTTCAATATATTTAAAAACGGGTCATCTGATATCCTAACTGAAGGAACAGTAAGTCTATTTCTTTTTCTCCCTCTTTAATAGGTCATATTATTAAGATGCTTGATATCAGTAATGATAAGTCAGTATCTTAAAAGTATATTATTGGAATCCAAAATTACCATTACAACTTATTGGAGGCTATTTGCACGATGAAAACCCTACACTAACATTCACACCACCTAGTTATCTAGTTATAATCTTTTTGTCTAATCCATAGTGCTAATTTAGTTCTATCGATTAGGCTTAGGCCTTCCTACCGGATTGACTTTAACTGTCGAACACTTCTAAATTTCTGTTCTTTGAACTAATGTATATTTCAAGGTGATATTCATCAAAAATTGACACTATGTTAGGTACCAGTGAAAACTGAATAGCAATCAACATTTTTTTCGTTCTTACGTGGAACTTCCCAACAGCGCACGGTAAGACTTCATGAGCAATCGAACTCAGAACCCTCAGTTGTCGTGGTGAGATCCTAACCATCACATTAATTGGTTGGGATTCAATGGTACATTTTTAACTTCAGTCAGTTCGTTACACAGAATGATGACCGTCTAATTCCGTTGGTGACTACTGTTTCGCCCCCAACGTGTCTAAGGTCCACCGGTCATAAATTTTTACCTGAACTTCAGAAATTCATCTCAGAGTTATCGGTGATCATAAGTTTTATTGGATGATCAGTTGTGCAGATTAGTTTAAAATAAAGAGGGCATTCGTCACAGAAACTTGAAGATTGTGGATTTTTTTCTCACCCTGTTCACAATTCTGGATGATCAGAAAATTGTAGGATATTATTGGAGATTATTCACTATGCACACTATATTATGAGTGACTTGACAAATCGATCCCTCTCTCCAGTTCGACCACAATTTCAATTTTTCTGTGTTTTAGTAGACATCGTACGCGGTAGGTAGCCAATATTTTTTCTAATGTTACATATTTTTTAAACATTTGTGTCGAAAGACTAATAAAACTCCGTTTTCTCTTATTTTGTTTCCAAAATATCTCTTCAGGAACTTCTTATCTATTTAATCCATCATTATGTAATGTAATTCATGTGCAATAAGCATTAAGTATCATAAATGATTCAGTAATATTTACATCGCATTTTTGTTAGTTCATATTCACAGACTTCGCTTTGTTTTGATGTTTACCATAGACACTAACTCGTTTAATGCATCGAGCTCAAGGACGGGCAGAATTTCATATGGTTATGTCATTATTAGTAGTACTTAAAAAGTTTTTCCAAATTTCTGATGATCTTGTTTCTGTACTTCAGGTAAGATAAATGTTTTTAATTATTGAGAATTTTCTTCATTAATTATTGGAAACATATGCATCCATTTGTCTTTTCATAAATGTTAGATTTTGTTCAAGTATTCTCTCTAAGGTTGAAATCCGGTATTATATATGGAATAACACTGAATAGTGATCATATCGTACCACTGCGTTTGATTAAGGTAGAAAATGTAACTGCTAGATTTTGTCTTCATTGTTCTAGTTTGGATCTTATTTAGATCAGATCATGGATATGTCCAAATTAAAGTAGTGTAAATATAAGCTTTTTTTAAAAAAATAACGATGATTGTATGAACTCTCATTTGAGACCATAGCACTGTTTTATTTGATAAATTAATCAATTTTTAGTAATAAATTTGTATATACTTAACAACTACTAATGTTAATTTGTTTTTTCTTTTCGTTTATTTTCTAAATAGGGTGTTGATAATGTATTAATTGATTTTAATCAATTAGTTCTTCGTTTATTAAGTCAAAGTAAAATAACCCTAGAAACTTATGTACAATTTCTACAACAAGTTACAGAAAAATCTAGTTCAAATAGTAATATTGTACCCGAAGATGGAACAATACATGAACTTACAACTAATGTAAGTGAAATTTCATTGATAGTTGTGTATTGAACTTTAAAGAATAAGAACAAATATGTGTTTTCTTTTTCATTCATTGGTCATAACTTTGGTGGATGTGTGAATAAAATAGACTTACACTGTAAAAGCTGTTAATTAGTGGTATATTTTTAAGAAGAACCCATTTTTGATATTATTGATCTGTTCAGTGAAAATGTTAATCAGTAATGTGAGATTTTTTTAGAAAACTCTAGGTTGCATCAAGCCTCTTTCAAATACTCCTCATTTGTGCCTGTACACTTGTCCCATCATTTTGTTGACTGTTGAAATACACCATTCTGTGTAATCAGACCTTGTCATTTCATTTTTAGTCGTCCTATTGCTACTGTCAATACAATTTCGGATTGTATAAGCAAACTGAAAACCTAAGTGATGTAGTCTAAATAACTAGTTGTATGGATGATCGATCTAGTATGACAATTGAGTTTGTAAAGATATATATCCTTAGCTCACCTATTTATTATTTCATTTATTGGATCAAGGAGATCATAAATTACATTGATTAGTACCTCAAATAAGGCAAGCTGTCTGTGTTAGGCTAACTCAAGGTAGTAGGGGCTGTATATTATTACCATAGTCTTTAATTTTTACAGTGAAGCGCTCCAAGTATTTTTAAGTATGTAACTGTTATGTCCTTGAACTGTCTATCCACTTTTGGTGCCGAGGATACTTATCTAATTCAGATTTAAGACCTTGGGCGATAGGCTGACCGACCTAACCATGAGGCTAGTACACGTGAGTTCGAAATGGGGTAGAGGGGAGAAAGCTATTCTACCACCTGATTGGCTGACAAGCATGCGGACGAGAGAAGACAAAACAACTGGAACACTACTTGATCTATTCCCGATATCCTGATTTCTGATTTTCTTCTGATTTCCAGATTAGTGTAAAAAGGTACATGAATAAATAGGTGACTAACCCGACCACAACGTACAATAATTAGGAAAAAGACAATTATGCCCAAAGCTGGGAACTAGAGTAGAAAATAGGGTGCAAAATATGATTGCTTCGGAACAGAAAAGGGTAACACAGACTATCTATTGGTCATTTATGTTGTGTGCGTGCAACAAAGTCAGTCTTAAGTTCAATTCTATGATCATCAAACTAAAGTTTATCGGAACAGTATAATAATAACAATCTGATGTGTTAATATTCATAACTGATGAAATAAACTTTTTTGGTTTTTTCTAGTCACTGCTGTTCTTATTCTTCTTTCATCGAGTATACATTTCACAAAAATACTTTTTTGTGACCTACATAAACAACAGACTAAAATATCACTATTCATCACCGTTTTGCATGTAACATTTCTCCGAGATGACATTTAGAAGGTAAATACTAAGAATTCTTTCTTAGTTTATGACTTCCTAAAGTAAATTATAAAAATTGTACTATCCTTAGGCAAATGTACACTGGCTCAATTCGTCACACCAAGAGGTGACAATCAAATAAATCATCAACTATCAACATCTTTATCCCTTAGGAGATCAGACGCGACTCAAGCACCTCAGTAATAACGTTTCAGACTGTGAAGCTAAGTGAAATGAGTTCGAATCACACAGTAAACATCAGTTCCCTCAGAATTACATATAAGTCTTGTTGATGAGTGCCATGTATCATAAAATCTAGGTCCAATATCGCCTATTGACTACGTCTAACCACCTAACGAGTCCCCCTATAAAATACTGTGCCTACTAACTGATACGTATCAGTATTGTTGTTATGCACATTGAACTGACTTGAAATATCTGTGTATATCTGTTTTCTTTTCCTTATCGATTAGGCATTGATGTATTTAGAAAACTTGTTAGAATTCGCTGATATTATTGGTACTACTTTGTCATTTACTGAAGCTGGTCCACAAGCTACCACTAACACACTTAAATATCTTACCACTATTGGTCAAAATCATGCCTTTTTGGAAAATAAATTTGGGAATTACTTATGTAAGGATTCTTTTTTTTTTGTATGATAAGTACGTTTTTAGTGTGTTATTGACAATTGAACTAGCTTATTCATAAAACGTTGCTTATTATCTTTCGAGGGAAAATAGTACATATTCTGATCAACAAGAACTGTTTACATCTATTTAGAAACATGCACTCTATTCATTTTGGAAGTTTTGTTGTTTAATGCATGAGTCTCATTTGTTTGTGATCAATGAGTTATTCAATATTCAACTGCTGTTTTTTATGACAAAATCAAATGTCGAAATACTAAAGTTGTCAAAAATAGGCATTTATAAATGATTTTTTTGAACGACTTTAGTTGGCCTACACAATTTATCAGCTACATTCATCTTAGTCTACATAATCCTATTTGCAATTTTATGTGAACACATCCATTTCAGAATAATCCGAAATTTATCTGACATACATTCTTATAAGGTCATTGATATATTCGTTGAAGAAGTGTTTTTGCAGTAATACAAAAGAGTTAAGGACAACTTGAAAAAAACATCTTATAACGCACAGTTCTCTGTAAAGAAGTAATGAGTTATCCCTTATAAAATTCCTTACTTCTTTCTCATAGCAAAATAAAACCCTACTTAACTGTTGATATTACCAACTGAATATTTACTATGATGTGGTTATATCATAAAGGAGATCTAGAAACGTAACAAAAGCAAACCGTAGTTTACACACCGAAGACAATAGTCAACTAGAAAACATAAGTATCCGAAGTGTTTCTTTCATAATTCGGATCACGACTATGATAAACTCCCTAAGAGTACAATATACAAAGCGAACAAATAAATATGGAATACTAAATTTGATCTTTTCATTTTAATAGAGCGAATTCATACGGGATACTTATCACTTCAGGGTTTCATCACCTATGGTTTCTGCCCAATGGTCACCGATATGCAACATTCCAAGACCGATCATGAAGTCTGAGCTTCCAAACGATAGTTAAGAAATATTTTTCTAGCTTTCTGAATCAGACGTTTATGTTAGAGTGACTACCCTGAAGTTTATTTGAACTACTCCTCTAGCCATCACCAAACATCTGTTGAAACAAAAGTTCTCTCGCTCAAAACCTCTCTGAATTGACTAAAAAAGTGCTTTGAAATCACCATTACAAGAAAATTTCAACTACATACAAATCCTTTATTTTAACTACTTAACAATTTAAAGATTCCCATTGTGAAAATTAGAACAACATATATAAGCGAACAATTGTTTTCAATTAGATCGTCATCAGACTTTACTCTAATATACATGAATATTATATTATTTATTCGCAGTTCTATATTGGCACATCTTATTGATAGCGGTCATGCAGTAGATAAATCGAAATCATTTCGAGTTATCTATCGTATACCTCCATCATTTCCCGACGGAGTCCGTTCCCGTCTCCTATATATAGCTGAAGCCATTGGAATTCGTATATATAACCCCAATTTATGTGTACAGAAGAAATACTTAACAATTGCAACACTGCTAGTCGCTTCCTAAAGCCGCATTTAATTGCTTCAGAAATAAATATTTCTCAGAACCAATGACAACTATATTCATTAGGGTTTATTTGCTTTTTCCTTTCACCTTTTGGAGCCTTTTAATCCAGGAATGAAATTATGTAACATAATTCTGGGTTGTTCAGTGGAACCACATAAATGTCATAAATTATTCAAAATTTATTTTGCAACATATCGGTCAGTCAGCTACAACGTAGGATCAGGCACATATATGCATCAGTCCAAGTTGCCATGCCGCATTAGTAAAACAAGATAAACACCAAATTCATAAAAGCAGTTATTTCAATGGTAGTAATATATAAAAGAAAGTTTGTAAAAGGATCTAGTACAGGAAGAAAGAATTAGAAAGGTATAAAGTAATTTCAATCTCACGATTTAAGGGAAGACGAAGAGTGTATACACCTACGCCATTGTGATTGATCCTGAGCCATGTCACTCAGTCTCCAAGCATTGGTTACAATATTCGCGTGGACCCCAACTAATTAGTTTGCATTTACCAACATGGCTCAGACTAGAAGTTAGTGACTTCAAGCACTGATGCCACGTTTTGGTTTGGTCACCTGTAACTTTCTTCCAACCATTCCCAACACTAGTCAGAATTGCGCGTCGTGGTAATCGGTGTTCAGGCATACGTAACACGTGACCCAACCATCTCAGTCGACGAAGATTCACAACCTTATCTACTGATTCACCATCATTCCCTGATACTCTGTGTCTAATCTCAACATATACATAGATCTATAAACATTTGACTATTTTTTCACCGTTCTTATTTTCGAAAATTGTTTTTTCCTCTTAGTTAATGCTATATTCGCTCTTATGACAAATTTGGAACGTAAATCAGAAGTTTATTCTGAAGAGATACGTCGAATGATTTTCCAAATGAATAATATTCAGTACATATTGAAAAGTATTTATAAGTATGTGTGATTTCTAAACTTATATAATGTGATAGTATTCATGTAATCCATTTAGGGAATACAAACTTAAGTATTCAGTTTTAAACCACACTCTGTCGAACTGCTCAGACCGAAGTAAATGGTGCAAAACTTACAATCTAGTTATCGCAAATTAATTATTGTATCCATGATATTACTGCTCTAAAAGTCATGTGTTTCTAACTAGCTGAATCTCCATGATCAAATTGCTAATACGTATATATCCTGTGACTAAAAGTTATCCTAAATCAATGTGTTCAAATTCAGATAACTTGCGTGATAAAGACCTTATGAAATTGAAAGTATATCTATTAAATATATTACTGTCTCTAGTGAAATTTCTCCAACCATTCATTCTATTTACTATAGTAGTTGTAACGATCGAAAGTCCAATAGTTGATCTGAATGCAGAGCTAATTAACCAAAGTAGATCAAACTACTTTTTTCTGTATAGCATGTAAAGCATTTTTGAGTTACTCATTGCTCTCTGATTTCCTCGTCTACACAAATTGGATGCTAATTCGCCTTAAACGAATATCTACACTAGATACACTCCCAGTGTCTATTCTAAAGGCCTTGAACACAACTCAGATCAAGAACACGTGACTAGCCCGACTAGAATGCATGTATACTTCCACACCAAAACCCTACAACAACCCGCCAACAGTCACAGTAACAATAAAAGTAAGAGAACATATAACTCATCTCGTACCTGTCAGAATATCTACTAATCTGACCAAAAAAACAACCAGTCATTATCAGCCTCGCCCACACATCACCAATACTAGGTTATATCAAAGCACAAACCCTTTGTAATCGGTCCTAATCTAACAAAGGCAGCAAATTACATCAGGCACAGTCAGGCTGTTACGCTGTGTTTTAGCGCACATGTAACATATTGTCGAGGATTTTGGGATGTCGTTATTTATCAGATATAAACGGTTTTCTTTTCGTCTTACAATACTTTTCATAATATTTTTGCTTGTTACATGACATTTATTGCAGTTTATTAGTAGTTTGACATGTTTGTTGCTGACAACCTGTGTGAATGTTTAGTGAGCTTAATGTGGTTATTTGTAACATTACTAATTCAGGCTAGTGAAATTCACCGTTTATGAAGTCAAAAATGGACCATAATCAGAGTTTTATGGAAAAATGAGCGTTAAGAACTTCTACATATAATTCAGGTCCTTAATTATGGTGGCGTTGAAAGTGGATATTGGTGGCTGTTTGTAAACTGTAGATTTAAGCAATTAATCTAACCGATTGGCATCATAAACATGGTATAAAGCAAACTACTAACATGGTGAGTCGTTCATAGTTATATGATGGGGATTTGGAGCTGTCAGTGTTCGATACGGCTCAACCCTAGAAGAACTAGAATCAAATAACAAGTATTAATGAGTTAATTCTTGAATTCCTACTGCATTACAGACTGACTTTGTATAAGTCCAAAGTAATTCAGGCCAAATACGTGGCGAACATTGAACGAGCAATCCAACCTAAAACACAAATTTATAACACTAATATCTCCATTCTAGCCACGAAACTCAGCTAAAGTAATAAAATATTGTATAAGATAATTTGTTGGGATAAATTACGTTTAATCTGGAAGGCCAAATCATCAATGGATGGTCGATTCTTAATAACAACAAGCACGTACTACATAGGCATATTTTGCTTTCGGCTATGCTGGCGAGTGGGCACTAACTTTCTTTTTTGATTGTTTATGGGTTGTAGTCATATTAGTAATCTAATTACCCATATCGGAGTTATATGCCAAAATGAACTGTGAAACCATTTGCATTTCATTCACGTGCTTAATTATGGTGGTGTTGAACTTGGATGTTCATAGCTGTTTGCAAAATGTAGGTTGAATCAAGGAACTGTGCATAAAATTACTATAAGTGCCACATTAATCAATCACATTTTCGTCATAAGTCACACGATGCCTGTTTGTTGTGAGCATGGTAACTGAACCTAATTGTAATTAACACTAATTTCTGATGTGTCTGTTGTAAGGATAATGAATTTCTATTAACGGAATCCTTTATTACCCATAAAATTTTCACACCACTTATCTGTCTCTGAACTCCACTCAATTATTACATCACCCATCCTTAATGTTTCCTTGATTCTAACAACAAATAACCTCTGACCTGTTATTGCATATCTATCTATCTATCTATCTATCTATCTATCTATATATATATATATATATATATATATATATATATATATATATATATATATATATGTATTAGAATTTAACATTGAGGTATGAAACAGTTGACATAACTGAATTTAAAGAATTGGAATAACGTAGGTTATCAATAATAAGTATAAGCATCTATATATATATATATATATATATATATATATATATATATATATATATATATATATATATATATATAATTCTAATACATATTTGGTTGTAAGCAGCTGACGAGAAACCACGAAATATAATAAATGCATACTATTCTGCATCAATATTTCTTCTAGTTTTATTTAAATTCATAAGCAGAACTAATCGCATGAAATTATAGTCTACCTAGGTACTGATACTAATTTGATAATAAACGTAATGGCACGGGAGAAAAGTCAGAGCCTTTCGAAGCTGCCCGCCCTTTCGTTTCAACGACCTTGAACGGCCTGACAAAACGCGGTCATTCTGTATTTCAATTGCCACGGGTTTGTTGGGTTGCATGTGTATCAAGTTTTTCCATATAAGTCATCTTTTGCTGCATTAAAAAGCACAAAATAACTTCCAAAAGCATTAATTTAGCGTCCTCTGTTTTTTAGTGTACATATTGGCTCTGTTGTTGCTTCGTAACTTAATCTGTGATCCCAGCTGCTGTAGTAAATCTCAACGAAATGTCAAGTTACCGGTAAATCTTAAATATTTGTAGTACTTCCTTGGGTTATTATTATTTCAAGGAATAACTTTTTTATAATTAATGAATTCTGTTCGTAGTGCTTCATGCGCAAGTGACATCTCAGTGGACCTTAGCGATGCTTTTCAAAGTATGATACTGAACAAGCGTTTCGCATGCTGGGATGACTTTGATAGCGCGCTAAAAGAGTTCCAAAAAGTATGGATGAATAATTTTATTCCTTCTCAGACTACCCATACTCATTACATCCACACGGAAAGCAAGTTGCTGAAGGATGTCAGGTTCAAATACCTGTTTGTTACGTTTCACTGTACATTTGGTCATAAGCGTAATTCGGAATGTTTGAAAGTGAATCAAAAACCGTGAGAACCTTAACTAATATCTGAAGTTTAAGGTCTAAATTCCTTAATTGCCAATCAAGTTCCATGTAAGAATGGAGGAGCAAGGATATGTTATCAAATCCTACAAGATGCTTCACAATCATCCATACAATAGTTCATGGATGGTTTGTGATCCATGGACAAGAAGATTGTCGTCGGAAGAGAAAGAGAATTTGAAGCCAGTCATTTTGCAGTCCCAGTCAACAGATGAAGTTATAGAACTGGTAAGGTGGTCACCGCTGCTGATGTAAAGACTGTGAAAGCTAAACTCTCCACAGGTAAGTGTATAAAAATATATTTCAGATTGTTGTACTCGAAAGCAGGTAATGGATTTGCTGCGACAAAAAGTGAAGTGAGGGAACATTTAGAAAATGGATATGTAACGAGAATATGTTTCAATAGCTATGATCAAATACACTTGTACAATAAATATCCAATATACTGTATAGCTCATCAACTTCTTAGGCTTTGCATCACACCACTTATCATTTTCTGAACTCCACCCGATTATTACACCACCCATCCATAATGTGGTTGATGAGCTATACAGTTTATACTTTATAAGTAATAAAGCTTACCTGTAATAGTTTGTCTTTTAACATATGCAAGTAGCATATGGCGGCAAGGATATCGACACGTAATAAATATTCTACAATTGCATTCACAAGTGCTTACATCCACTTCATAATGCCGTCCGCAGTCAACCAGAAACAACCAGTCGCCATTTTCATATTCCACGTGAACAAAACGCATTTTCTTCAGTTTGTATAAAACTTTTGAACGTTCAAAGGGCGTTAGCATGTTTAGCAACGGAAGTCCATTTTGAGTACATATCTTTTTATTTGGCGATTAAGCGACTCAACATGATTATTCGTGTTGTTACCCAGAGTTAGGACATTGCCATAAAACGCAAGCGCCCACATACTTTTATGCGACATCCAAAAGCGAGATAGATACTAGCCTATTCGTCTGTCCGCTGGTTAATTATTCTGAAATATGGATTAAATCTACTGAATAAATACATTTCAAAAAATACCTTCCAACCGTTTCTGCGGTTACCAATCGACTTAGGTACGTTTCAATATTTGTCGTGTGTCTAAGGGCAATTTTATGTAAACAACCATTGGTGGACCTTTTTGCGGAAAGCGCGACATACGTGAAAGGCGCACAAAATAATGTTTGTATGACCGTGTATGATACGGACAGCCGCGCTTTCTGCTCGTGCACAGTCCATAACAAATGTTTCCGTCCGTGTAGTTGTTCCCATGATTTCTTTGAATTTGTCAGGAATCCACGTTACATCTGCACACATATCCTTTCGCGTCAAGCAAACATTACAGAACGTCCTCGGCCAAAATTATCCGTCACAACCAACTGGAATAAGGAATATCTACAAAGTGTAATACAACGAAAAGCATAATCACTTATTATTATTGGTATTATAAGTAGAATCAATCACACAACTTCTGGATATTTATTGTACAAGTGTATTTGATCATAGCTATTGAAACATATTCTCGTTACATATCCATTTTCTAAATGTTCCCTCACTTCACTTTTTTGTCGCAGCAAATCCATTACCTGCTTTCGAGTACAACAATCTGAAATATATTTTTATACACTTACCTGTGGAGAGTTTAGCTTTCACAGTCTTTACATCAGCAGCGGTGACCACCTTACCAGTTCTATAACTTCATCTGTTGACTGGGACTGCAAAATGACTGGCTTCAAATTCTCTTTCTCTTCCGACGACAATCTTCTTGTCCATGGATCACAAACCATCCATGAACTATTGTATGGATGATTGTGGAGCATCTTGTAGGATTTGATAACATATCCTTGCTCCTCCATTCTTACATGGAACTTTGATTGGCAATTAAGGAATTTAGACCTTAAACTTCAGATATTAGTTAAGTTCTCACGGTTTTTGATTCACTTTCAAACATTCCGAATTACGCTTATGACCAAATGTACAGTGAAACGTAACAAACAGGTATTTGAACCTGACATCCTTCAGCAACTTGCTTTCCGTGTGGATGTAATGAGTATGGGTAGTCTGAGAAGGAATAAAATTATTCATCCATACTTTTTGGAACTCTTTTAGCGCGCTATCAAAGTCATCCCAGCATGCGAAACGCTTGTTCAGTATCATACTTTGAAAAGCATCGCTAAGGTCCACTGAGATGTCACTTGCGCATGAAGCACTACGAACAGAATTCATTAATTATAAAAAGTTATTCCTTGAAATAATAATAACCCAAGGAAGTACTACAAATATTTAAGATTTACCGGTAACTTGACATTTCGTTGAGATTTACTACAGCAGCTGGGATCACAGATTAAGTTACGAAGCAACAACAGAGCCAATATGTACACTAAAAAACAGAGGACGCTAAATTAATGCTTTTGGAAGTTATTTTGTGCTTTTTAATGCAGCAAAAGATGACTTATATGGAAAAACTTGATACACATGCAACCCAACAAACCCGTGGCAATTGAAATACAGAATGACCGCGTTTTGTCAGGCCGTTCAAGGTCGTTGAAACGAAAGGGCGGGCAGCTTCGAAAGGCTCTGACTTTTCTCCCGTGCCATTATGTCATAAGTGCAGGATACCTTAAAAGATATAGCCTGTGCTACATAGGCGAATGTTTATCTAGCACAAAATAGCATACTAAGCAGTCAGTGGGATCGTTAATAAGCAAGTGATCTGTACGTGAGAATCACTAAGACTGTTCCTAACAAGATGAGATCAAATATCTATTTACAATGATTGGCGTAACCGTTTTTTGAAGGTAATCAAAGGTCAACAATCATCAATCGAACTATGGCGTAACCTTGAGTTTAGTCAAATTCGACCGCATTTTGAACAAGCTGGGAACATGCAGTAGCAAATTTAAATAAAGGTAAATATTTGCCAAAGTTAAATGGTAAAAACCCGGGGAAAAAAGAGAAAAGAAAATAAGATAAAGTTACAAGAGACCTGAGCAAAATTTAACATAAGGTAGGACAAAAGAATAAAGAAATAACAGTACCGTCCAGTAAAACACTGGAGGGATTTTCAGCCTATTCTCGTAAAGATTTAGTACGAACTAAAATCGTTTTTATCGCTGACTGATACCAGTTGATGAACTGTTGATTACTGATGTGCTTTAGGACGCTTGAATCATTCTAGCCTAAGACTGCTTGACTATACAGACGGACGATCTCAATCGAGACTGAGCTCATGGACAGCTTCTCAGGTTAATTAAAGAATGATATTCTTCTCACTTTATGACCCAAAAACTGTGCTTTCAACTCCGTACGAGGTCATGAGTGTGCACTTTTTCATGATGGGCTCTTAACTAAAGAAAAACACTCCCCCAGTCCTCCTTGGCTTTCAGTTCTACTACTGGTTTCATTTTGTGATAAAATTACTTTACGAATTACTAACTTGATTTACAAAATGTATGTTACTAAACATCCATCAGAAATTTGGTTTTAAAAAATAGTTTTAATACTTAGTAAGAAATAACAAAAACCTTTACAAATATTTTGTAACAAGGTAATCTCGTGCTATTGTTTAACAAACAACTATTAACTTTGCTTTCGAATAAAAGGAAACTTGTCATGAATACTAAATATCGTTGTTATTATTACTTATGTATAACCTATATTCCTCATGAATAAAATATTATGGTTTACTCGTCTACCTTGCTACACAATGCTATTCATAGTAATAGATTGTAAGGAGATAAGGGGCAGCTAGACAAGAGCATGATATCAGTCCATAAAGTCATCCACCTTTTTACTGAGATATGTGGGAGGTAATCCAGACTTCTTGGACGGGAGCGTTTGCTGACATATCTCAAAATTGACCACGGTTGCATAGACACGTTCTTTATATTTTAAATTTCAATGTCATTTCATACTTTTCGTTCCACGCACCAGACAACCACAGGAAATGGTTGCTCCGTATCTTCAGCTGATTGAATTCAGATATATACATCATTGAATTTCGGTTCAGTCGTCTCAATGTTAAGTGTGCGCCCATGAAACCGAAGGCTCTGTATTCCACCCCAGGTGGCAGGGTTATGGATGGACAACGCCAAGTCCCATACTAGGATGAAATAGTTGTACGGGGCTTCCAGGTATCCGACGGTTGTCTAACTTGGGTTGGTTCATGATCTCACCAATATTTATTAATCTCCACAAGTCCCTATAATTTTGATACTTAATCATCTATTCCCAATTACTTTTCCATATTTTGGTTTAAATAAATGGATATATCATTGTACAACTAAATAATACAGGTTTTCTTAATTTATACGTTCTTTTTTTCATTGTGTCGGTAATTGGGATGATTTTTAGGACAAATATTCACCGTTATCTTTTATCACAAGATCGTGAAGCTGTTGCCAAAATTACTAGTATATTGGATGAACGTAAACTTTTTTATACACGATGGTATGTTTAACAAATGTCCGTTTTTGGTGTTCACAATCTATTTCGTTTTTGTTTTGAGGAAAATCAAACTTTATTCAGTTTATTTACTAGTTAGAATATATATACTAACAACCCGATGGGTCGAATATTGTATGTTTGACTCTTTGATTTTGTGTTCTCCCAAATTCTAATCCTCTGAATTTGTCATGTCCCTTTTTTTCCCCTTTCCAAATTTGTTTCACTGTGTTATACTTCTTGAATAACATCTTCAGATTCAATCTTTCCGATTACTGCTTATACTCTTACTACCTCTACCACTACGGGATTTGAACCGACAACTGCATCTCTGTGCTAATGTGGTGTGGCAACTCGAACTGACGTACGTACGTAAGAAGTTCTACGTTGTCACTGACTGACTGACTTCGATTATCCGGATAATTTCCATCTGTTAATTGATAATAAACCTGACTCCTGACGGTTGCTGCTACTTTGACTTTGTGGTCGGTCTCGTCTATCGAGATAAACCAATCGGGCTATACTGGCTGAAAAAATCGTTCCTCAAGGTTCCGACATGCTAGGTAGGTCGGTTGAAAAGCAGTAAGACAAAAAACAGTAAACCCAAGGTCCGAGAGCGAAGCCGTACTGCTGACCAACATGGCGACCCCCTGTACCAAACCAACGATAGACTCAAATAGACCATATTGCCATCAATCATTGTTGTAGAGGGTCGATAGAAGATAGTCGCTCGTTCGAGAATACCTGCTTGGACTTCGACCATGTTCTAATATGGGCACCTATCTGCTTGCACCTCACTGGACGCAGAAAAGCCACACAAAGAAGACCCGTTAGAGTCGAACTCAGTGACGAGAAAGCCAAAAGTGGATTCCGGGAACAAATAAAGCCGCGCTTATGCATTTCTGAAAGCGAGGCTGACCCAGATGTTTCTTGGGAAGATATACAAACAGCTGTGGAAACAACAGTGACATATGTTAATGATTTGAACCAAAGGGTTACAAAAAGCCAATGAACTTCTATGACATCTGTTGCAATGATAGATTCTCGTAAACTTATTCCATCAGACTCCGAACCCAATGACGAGCGAAAACAAATCAGATCTAGGTTAATCAAAAGTTTACGGAACGATCTTGAGCAGTGGTGGGCGATGAAAGCAAAGGATATGGAGGTAACAAAAGACAGCTTTTCAGACTGGTGAAAGAAACTGGAATTGGGAAGTCAAGTATGAGTAAAACAATCTCGGAAAAAGATGAAACTCTTATCTCCTCTCAGTCCGGACGTTTGAACGATGGATGGAACACTTTAATGATCATTTCAGCTAACATTTAGCTACCTAACATTTCCAAACATGGAACATTGAAATGGACTCTCCGACTTTAATTGCAGTTCAAAAAACCATAGATAGTCTGAAACGAGGAAGAACAGCTGGTCCAGATGGACTTACCCCAGATTTCAGGCTGACAGCTGTAGGTTTATGATGAAGCAGAAATGGGGATGGTAGACAGCCGTGACGGTCACCACTTGAGGTTGAAAAATCATATGACTGTTCGCGAAAAGCTCTGACTCGACTGGTTTTGATCGAGTAAAGAGCCCCCACTAGGTTTATGTACTTCTGCGGTGCACTTTTCAATGACAGACATTGTCATAGAACCTCTCAGTCTACAGAGTCGAATTCCACTTCTAAGTCAAGAAAGGCCACCATTTTTGGAAGCCGATAAGCATGCCCGTGTTCTAGAACCTGACGATTGGTGAACATGTGGTCGATTTATTCATGACCAAACCTGAAAACAGCCTGATTTCCTCGTATTTGCTGTTCCTGAGTCTTTGTTAAGCATCCGATAATTATTAAGGCTAGTATTTTAGATGCTATGGTAGTCATACTAATCCCCCTACGGATCCTTTTTTATATATTGGGACGATCAATGATTGCGGCGTCGGATAGGATTACGTCCAGTTCTCAGATTTTGGCTAAAATATTAGTCAACCTAAAACTGAACCACCATTTTTAAAGACATCTGGAGTAAGTCCATCTGGACCAGCTGTTCTTCCTCGTTTCAGATTATTTATGGTTTTTTGAACTTCAATTAGAGTGAGAGAATCTGTTTCAATGTTCAATACTTTTCATATACTTTATCGTTTATTTCGTCTAACCATTCCTAGCATAATTTGTTTTGTAACAAATCCTTCGACGAAAGCATTGTTATAGATTCAGTACATATCACTATAAAAATTGTCTTAGTGAAAATGTTTTTATGCACTGTCTCAGTCTCTTGATTGAATAGCGCATAAACACAAACTATCGATCTCATGTTAAATTAATTAATTAAACGGCAGATATCCATGAAACACAAACAACTAGACTCATCGTGAATGCAGCTTATCAATTGGGATGTATTCACTCTTCATGTTTATCAACATACTTTTTAGGAAAATATTTTTGCAAACTTTATACTTTCTATTAGTACAAAGTTCTAGAGATTTCAGAATTTTATTGAGATCAAGAGCCTTTCTAAGTTAAATAACCATTAAAAACTTGAAAGGATTAGACGTCCGTTTCGTCCTAGGATGAGAATCTTCAGCATCCCACACGCACGACTTCTCAACTGGGAATCTAGCCCAGGACCTTCGGTCTATATGTTATTTCATTATATCTGTTTCCTGTTGTACTTATTTTTCTTCAATTTAGTCATGAACTAGATAACTAATCCTTTCTTTTTCTATAAACAAAAATTATGTATTAGTTGTGCTGATATACTACACTTACGACCATTTCCTGAAAGTTGTGGATCAAGTAGTATTCGTCGACGTAGAGCATCTCAATTTGGATCTGTATTACTAGCTTCTGTATTATCACCAAATCTAAACACTAATCATCATAAACATTCAATCACTAACAATGAGCAATCTCAAGATACTGTGGATGAACATCTAACCAAGGTGTCTTTTTTTGTGCTAAATATCGTACTATCTCATCGATTTAGAGTTGACTTCTTACTAGTCTGTAAAATCTCTCTTATTTTCATATATTGTGTTTATGCATGCAATAGCCTTGTTTATCATGATTTGATAATGAAGAATTATTGAATAATAATGATTGTGTGATTGTTTTCATTTATCAATTTTCTTGTTAGTAGTAATCATAACTCTTATCTTAACTCTTTGCATTCCTACTAATGGTCATTATAGCGGCAAACATAAATTGGTGCTTTATACTGGCATGTTAATAACATAGTACTATACTATAACCTTAATTATTTTGTCTCTAAATTATTTTACCTAGAGAATCTTTTTTTTTCTTTTCATGTTATGTTGAATAATCTAGAAAATTGTGAATAATTTTTTAACTGTTTTCAAAATTCTTTTATTCTTTGAATTTGTTTCGTTTTCTGTTTCTATGTATGAAATTAATCTAATTCTTTGTAGGTGTGCACGCATGCTTTCATTACCAGATGGTAATATTTTAAATCGTATTACTGGTTTAATTAATCGTTCTTCTGTGAGTTAATTTACTACTATAACATCATTATATTTGTATAAATCATTCATAATGCATGTATGTTTGTCTGTGTAAATCATTCATTCTCTTATTATTTTAACAGTAGATCATCTACTTGAATGTATCTATCATTTTATCAAGAAATTTGTTTTTACATTGATTGTAATTGCTTTTTAACTGTAACTTGTTTGTTTTATATTTATCTCTTTTACTTTAATAGATAGATCAAAAGGAGAGATCTTTTTTAAAATCTCTTTGGAATGTAAGTTTTACCGATTGACTTTAAAACATTGGATACCTTTTGTATTAGTGGGTTTTGTTGTTGTTGTTGCTGTTTCTCAATAAATTCATTGTCCTACCTACCAGTCAAGGTTATGCTCGAATGACTGTATCTGTACCATTTTTGTCGTATTTATAATTCATATTGTTTGCTTTTTCATGTAATTTATGGTTATGGAGCAACGAATTAACTCATTATTGATAATGAGAACTCATCAACATTCTACTATTAAAAACTAAGAATTTAACCCGTTTGACACTAAATAACATGAATAGTATAAATCTAATGTAAATAAGCATATTTAGATCAACTAAGACACAAGTCACAAATTAAACGAAACAGAGCTCTGGATAAAAAAGCATCCATAATAATGACGTCGAAGATGGGGCATATCCCAATATTAATACATGACCTTGACTGGTAAACGGGATAATTCCAGTTTTACTTACAATGTCCCGATAAATAACAATCTTACCAAACTCGAATTCAATTAGCCAGTTATGTGTAACGTAAGAACTGGCACACATACATGTACATCGGTTCAAGTTGCCCTACGCCACTAACACAGAGAGATGAAATTGTTAGGGCGAATTCCAGAGAAGTATTTATTTATTAATTTAAACACATAAACATTGGTACAAGGAGGCACCAAGTAGATATGCACCACACAAATCATTCGATTTGTGTGAGGGCTGTGATACTCCCGGGTGCCCAGACCGAAGCAGGTGGTTTTCTTAGAGGGGCCACACCTCGAGCCTTTAACCTAAAGGTCTGACCCACAAGGCAGTGGAGCATCGTGAGGAGATACAGTCCCATGGTAGCCGGTCACCAATGATTGGTTCATTCGCCATTTGTTCCTGCAGGATACTGGAGCCCATGTGCACCATTGGTTTGGAATCCGGTTAAAGCGCTGGACATTCGCTTTTCGTCCACTAAATTTCGTAAACAACACCCCCGCCACGAGAAGGCAGTGAGTAGGACTTCCCTGGCAGAGGCTGTATACGCGTGGCCATGTGAGAGCATTTCGAGAGAGAGGGCGGGCCCACCCCACTCTCGGCCATACCAGGGCATTTGGGGGCAATTCTAGAGAAGTACATGTAACAGTATTAGTGTTAATTAAAAAGATCCGACATCAAAGGTATTACTCTAGAAAATGTAAATTAGTGAAATAAAAAAGGAATTCAGAAGCTGATAATATGAGGTAAGATAAGCAATGCATGCACCTCCACCATTGCGAACTATTCCAAGGAGTGTCATTCAAAGCCTCTAGCATTTGTTTACTATAATCACATGGTATTCTATACCTGCTTACATGACTCAGTTCAATGGTCAGTGTCTTCATGAACTGACGCTACGTCTTGGTTTGGCCTCCCTTAGCTTTCTTCCTACCTACTCGTGCACCAGTCATCGTTGTGCGTTTAGGTAGTCGGTGGACGGGCATACGTAACACATGTCCCAGAAATCTTAGTCGATAAAGTTTCACTACCTCATCAACCGGTTTGTCGTTCTTGTGTAGTATGGTCCCAAAATGTACAAGCAGTGCTTCAAAGCCACTTATGATCAAATACTAATAGCCTTTGAATACCCTTTATTTTTAAAGGCCACGTTTCACAGCCATTAAGTAGAACGGAGCGAGCTGTTGCGCAGTAAACTCTTCATTTGGCTGGCAGACGAATGTCTCGCCTACGCCATGAGTGACATAAATTGGTAAAGACCGACTGAGCTCTCCGAATCGGTGCCAATTTTTCGTCAGACACCAAATAACCGGTGTTAATGAGACTTCCATGATATGTAAAGTCCACTTCATCTATGCATCATAAACTGACCAACTTTCGGTTTTGTTTAATTAGACCATAAACTTGCTCTCGATAGGTAGTGGAACATGACAAATATATTTATGTCAGTGTTGTAACATAAAACGCCCCCACTTCAATGCTGATCTTCATTTAGCTCACAAATAATATTAACTCTCTGCATTTTGAGGAGTCGATATAATCGAATACCGAAAGCCGCTGTACATTCTCAACTTTATATGTATAAAGTAAAAATGTATTTACTAAAGTGCTTTCTAATGAATATTTTGCTTCAGGACGAATGTCGTAATAGCAGTTAATTGATTAACGTATACACTACTGTAATTTTTGTGTTTCACATAAGTTTCTCTACTAGATTATTTACAGTTGATTTGTAATTAAGATTTACAATTATTAACTCATATCTATTTTTCTCCTTGCTTTGTATTCTAAGGATTTTAATAATGGACTGAATACTTTAACTAAACAACATCATCTTATTTCAATACCTGATCGAGAATTGAAAAATAGTTTAGAGCATCAATTAGTACGGGATCTAGTCGCTTTATATCGTGGTTTCTGGGAAAAATCAATGTCTATCGCATTCACAACAAATCGTGATAAATATATTAAATTGTCCGTTGAAGAATTTGAAATTCGAATACGACATTTGTTTAGTGGAACATCAACTAACAGTACACGTCAATAAAAAAAAATACTTCCTCTTTTTAAAATAAACGAAATAGTGATCTTCAATCCGTTATTATCGTTGATTTTGTTACTTTAGTTGTTTCTTTATTTGAAAGAGAAAAAACTTAATTCCTTCGCAATGTTTTCTCCACAAAATATAAAACTGAATTCTCTGTTTTTATTTTTCTCTTTCTTTCTTTGTTTTGTAATAAATAGTTTGAAAACTTACATTGATACCGTACAATAAATAAATGCTTAATCAAATACATAACGTTATTGTGCTTTTTTATGTTATACGTTTCTACAGCCTCCAAGTGCCCTGGTGCGGTCGAAAGTGGGGAGAGTCCGCTCTTTCTCTCGAAATGCTCTCACATGGCCACTGCCAGGGAAGTCCTACTCAATGCGGCGAGTGCGTTGTTTGCGAAATTGAGAGGACGAAAAGCGAATTTCCAGCGCTTTAACTGTGTTGGTGGATACGGAGAGTCCACCTAGGGGAGTTGGACAACCCTGATCCCAAACCAATAGTGCACATGAGATCCAAGATCCTGAGGATAAGTGGCGTTTGAACCTATTGTTGGTCACAGGCTACCATGGGACTATATGTCCTAACGTTGCTCCACTGCCTTGTGGGTTAGACCTTTAAGTCAAAGGCTCCGGGTGTGGTTCCTAAGAAAACCACCTGCTTCAGTTCGGGTACTCGGCAGTATCACAGCCTTCACACAAATCAATGATAACTGATACCGGCCTCATTGTTATTGTGTGGCACATATCTATTTGGTGCCCCTTGTACCAATATTTATGTTTCAAGTAAAATAATAAAATAAACGTCTTTACAACTTGTATGCATGTGGATAATAAACTTATATTTTTAAGCCTAATGTATTTTTTTTATTTTATACTGGTATCGATCGTGTTTGAATTTTTTCTTATTACGTTTATGTCCTTGAAAAAGTACTTGAACACATAATACTTTTCAGCAACCTTTCATCTTATGTCCTACAATAATAAGTTTTCCAAACTAATATTTTTTGCTATAGCCATAGTCAAATATTCATTGACAGGTATAAACGAATGAGTAGCAAAAATGAAAGAATTGATTGACAATACTCTATTTTTTGCAGTTCATATTTTCGAAAATATTCATTTTGGGCGTAATAGTTCTCCTTTCAATGTCATTACGAATTGATATCGTCTGGAAAAGCATTAAGAAATCAAGGAGCACTGAATTGTTGGGAATGAGTTTTGATCTAGCCTTTTGAAAGATGAAATTTTACTGCTTCCAATACTATTATACCATAATAGTATTTTCAACTTAAAGCCGTATAGATAGGTCTCCATACTTGGTGAATAGGTTACGTTATTATCAATCAAATTTGTTGTATTCTCCCTTAAAAACCATTGCCTTTAAGTAATACTACTTCATATCGAAACAGATGTCGTGTACCATGAAATAATTATGATGTGATGGATATTTGTAGTTGGTCGCAGATTTTAAACAATGCCCTGGAAAAGTTATTTTTAACTGATTCTATACAGGCTAGATCAACTTTGGAATGATTTAATCATGATGATTTCAAACAATTGTTCATTCTTCGGTCAATGAATGCATACAATACACCTATTTTTTCTTGTTTATTTCTCCAGGATTATGGATATATTTTCATGCTACAAAAAAGATGATATACCTTTTGTTCGGATTTCTGCTCCTATGGTTCGATATACAAAGTTAGTACATAATTTTCAATAATCAACGTTTTCGTGATGTACATGTTTATGATTCATTATATTTCATGAACTTAACATTCCCCATTGATCCTTTAACCTCCGTTTACCTCCATTAACAAAATTCGTTTCACCATAATTTAAATACACTATATAGTTGTCTGTTTCTTCAAATGATAGTCAGCATAGTATATGAAATTCAAGGGAAAACTATTGTAATCAAATAAACTATCAATAGTTTTGAACATAGAAATAACACTCAATACGATAAAGCATTAGGCCTTCATAAACTGTCATTGTTGAGTATATTTCTTTTTATTTATTTATTTATTTCAACACATAGATATTTGTTCCCCAGAATACTGAAGCCCATGTGCACTATTGGTTTGGGATTAGGGTTGTCCAACTCCCCTAGGTGTACTTTCCATGTCCACCAACCCGGTTAAAGCGCCACAAATTTGCTTTTTGTCCTCTCAATTTTGTAAAAGCACCCCCTGCATGAGAAGGCAGAGGCTATATACGAGTGGCCATGTCAGAGCATTTCGATAGGGAGAGCTGACTCTCCCCACTCTCGACTGTACTAGAACACTTGGAGGCCCTTGTATAACAAATATAATTGCTAATGATTTTATTCCAAAATCAGTATCATACACACTAGTGTGTGACAGAAAATATTTTCAAATGACCCATATCTCTTTTTTTTTTAAAGAAAACAAATTGTCAAAACAATCGTCCGCAGGGCCACGGTGTTTTGAATAATTAGTTTTTTTTCTACGAAGCAGATGTAGACTACAGTAGTCTTAACCAATTGCTAATGTGTATATTCCTTATTAATTATCACATTGCAGTCCATTCTTCATTACTTTTTCAATTTATCTCAGCATATTTTTTCATATGTGTATATACATTTATAGATTACCATTCCGTTTACTACTTCGAAAACATAACGTTGATTTAGTTCATACACCCATGATACTGGCTAATTCATTTATTCGATCAGAGAAAGCAAGAAATGTTGAGTTTACAACTTGTTCAAGTAATTTAATGTTTATTCTATTTCATTTTTATGATCATCCTATTGGTTTCTATTATCGATATATTGCATTATTTTGTTGTGCTAATGAGATGGCAACTTGGACCGATGTATATATGTGCCTGGTCCTACGTTGTAGCTGACTGACTGATTAAATCACTATCAAATATTATTTTCTGATTTATACCATAATCTTGTAGTGGCTGGCACTATGTCGAACTCTCATAGCTTATTCTAGTTTTCATACAGACCAAATTACTCGTTCTCTATGCTCGTCACATTATGACCTTTTCAATTAATTTGCTTATTAACCTTGAGTGTGTGTATATATATTTCTTATCTGATTCATCATGTATCTGTAACTTATTTTTGTTCGACTATAAACATCGATTAACGCTTGATTAAATCGAGTTGGTTTACATGCCTTCTCCATTGCACATCATTTCACTTCGCTTCATTTCTTCAATCATTTGTCTTGATCGACGATTCTCGTATTTGACTTATTTAATTCCGTTATGTACTAACATGATATAAATCGATGATTATATACGAGAACTGGTGAAATGTGTATTTCGATAACGACAATCAACATACGATCAAATTGGAATCAGATAACGGACTACGAAAATCTCATTTATAATAAATGAATTAGTAACTTCTAGAAATTTCCGTTTAAATTTAAACAAATAGTCTCATAATAATTAAGCGCTGAATTAATGTAAAAGATTAAAGAGTAGAGAATTATATTTGTAAAAAGTTCAACCATTTAACTCGAAGTAAATTCATTATTTCTTTCAGTAATCTAATCCAACCTTTTTCAAAGAAATATAACCAAACATTATATATATATATAATAACTGGTTTCATTAATAAACAGTTCATTTACGGAATGTTGTTTAAAAATTAAATTCCTTTAAAAATAAAGCACTAAAACTATCTGTACAATTAGTGTATTACACTAGAAAACAATTTTTTATAGACTTATTCAGGTTAACCAATATTTTCGATTAACCCTAATAGAACATCATTCTACCACCACCAGCCCCATCCAACGAAAAAAACAACCTTAGTCTATATTATTGACTGTGATCACTAAGATATCATTTGATTGATTCATTGTTTAATATTAGCTATCAAATCATTCATTATGCAAATAATCTAACGAAGACTTTCTTTATGTAAAGCACATATAAAGTAATCGTTAGCTCAATAAATATCATTGAGTTGTATTCTGAGTGAATCATATTTTATCTGATCCATATGTAAATAGTCAGCTAATCTAGTGGTTGTGTTTTATTTACATCAGATTTCACGAGAACATTATCAATTCTATCATTTCGATCATTTCAGTCAGTCAGCTACAACGTAGGACCAGGCACATATATGCATCGGTCAAAGTTGCCATGCCGCATTAGCACAGCAAGATGAACACTGGATTCACAGAAGTAGATAATCCAATGATGGTAAATATAAAAGAAAGATTGCATATAAGGGTATAGTTAGTAGTTCGTAGAAACATATGAAGCGATTTTAATCTCATAGTTTAAGAGAAGACAAAGAGTGCACACACCTACGCCATTGTGATTGATCCTGAGCCATGTCACTCAGTCTCCAAGCATTGGTTACAATATTCGCGTGGACCCCAACTAATTAGTTTGCATCTACCAACATGGCTCAGACTAGAAGTTAGTGACTTCAAGCACTGATGCCACATTTTGGTTTGGTCACCTGTAACTTTCTTCCGACCATCCCGAACACCGGTAAGCATTGCATGTCGTGGTAATCGGTGTTCAGGCATACGTAACATGTGGCCCAACCATCTCAGTCAATGAAGATTCACAACCTTATCTACTGATTCACCATCATTCCATAATACTCTGTGTCTAACTTCACTATTACTTACCCGGTGATCCCAGCAGACGCCAGCAATATTTCTAAGGCATCTGTGGTCAAATACTAATAGCTTACGAATGTTTTCTACTCTTAATGGCCATGTTTCGCATCCGTAAAGTAGAACGGAAAGGACTGCCGCGCAGTACACTCGTCTTTTTATTGATAGACGGATATCTCACCTTCGCCATAGTTGGCAAAAGCCAAACGAGCTTTTCGAATCCTCTGCTGAGATTTCGTCAAACACCAACCCATTTGAGGTGATCAGACTTCCAGGATAAGTGAAGTTGTCGACGCGTTCGACTACTTCACTCCCTATCCTTAGTTCAGGTGTTGACGCAGACCAGTCCTGAAGCAGCAACTTGCATTTATAGGGATCATTTCAGTAATTTTACAAATTATCATTATAATGTTAAATTACCGATTATGTATAATAAGATATCATCTAGTTTTTATTCATCTTGTTAATATATTTGAGATGGATAACTTGTAAGATAATTCATTTGTATTAGTTATTTGAATGTTTCCATTGTTGTTGAGAACTGAAATTGATGAACCTGTTTTGTAAGATCATTGTTATATTTTCTATGTCATTAACAATAAATTCATTAACTTCTTGAGTATAATTTTGTTTGCATTTAATGGACCATTGAAATTTATACCTTTTTCAAAGCTTCAATTAGAGAATATTAAAAGAGCCATTTATAACTAACTAACTGATTGTTATTTTTAATCAATAAAACAACGTGAAGATAATTCATGCATTGATTAGACATTCTTTGTTTGTACTTAATTTTTTGATAGCGGAGAGATTTTTCTTTTCCAAGTTAGTCATTCTACACAAAAAAATTACTTGTTCACTTTGTGTTTATGAGTTAATAAGAGTTTATAGTGTTTGCAGTTATGTATATCAACAATGAGAAATTATGAAACCTTACAAATACTTTTATACCGTTGAACATGTTAGTAGTTACCTAAACTTAGTAGTTCAGTAAATAACACATTGTTGTTTAAAGTGAACGATAATCGGTTCAAGTCTCAGTTTGAATATTACTACTAGAAAGCAGGTACATTCAATATCAGATAGAACGAAATGCGAGTCATGAATTCCACTCCTAGTCGCATTCAGAATATACCCAAAAACGTTTTGTATTTTTGTTGTTATAATGAGAATCTAATCAATGTAGTTTGAATTTTTTCACATTTTCGTCGCTACTTCTCTCTCATATTTGTCTACCGTTTTTTTCCTTAATCTCTTATCTGATGTAAATTCAACGTCATTGAAAATGTTGTTAATCGTATTGTAGACACTTCCTAATTGATTTCTTTTCCTGGTAATAAATGTTTCAGTAGTATTACAGATCTAAAATTTTGATATGATGACTAATAAAACCACAGTCACTCTATGGTCTTTATAGTGTCAATTAGACCATGATTGGAATTTCTTTTCCATCTGTACAACGTCATTCAATTGGAATCATGCTTTTGCTGTAGGAATCTACATACTCTTGTAAAGTTTAGTATTGGAAAAATTGTATGATTGCCCAGGAGAATAAATATATAATATCATCTTCCAGTCTTTTCCAATCATTTAAAGCGAGTACTTATTTATTTAAACATATAAACGTTGGTACGAAGGGACACTAAAATATATATGCGCCACACAAAGTAATTGTTATTTAGTTTGTGTGTGAGCTGTGATACTGGCCGGGTGCACAAACCGAAACAGGTGGTTTTGTTAAGGGTCACTCCCTAGACCTTTGACCCAGAGGTCTAATCCACAAGGCAGTGGAGTAACGTTAGGAGATGCATTCCTATGGTAGCCGATTACCAAGAATGAGTCCATATGCCTTTGTTCCCTCAGGATCCTAGAGCCCATGTCCACTATTGGTTTGGAATCAGATAGCATCCTCCGTACCCACCGGGTTTAAGCACCAGACGTTTGCTTTTCGTCCTCTCGATTTCGTAAGCAACATCCCCGCCGCGAAAATACAACAAGTTGAACGTTCCTGGCAGTGACTTTATACGCGTGAGCATATGAAAGCATTTCGAGAGAGAGAGAGAGAGGGTTTATTTCAGTTCTGTGCGTTTTTATTCTCACCATTCTTATATTGAACATTCTCTTCCGTTAAATAAGTTTAAAATCTTGTCACAGATTGACTGTCTAAGCTACTAATTACAGCTTGTCGTATTTTTTTCATTTCTAACAATTTACTCTCATGATGTTGACTCTTTCGCTGTTTTCAACTGATTGAAATTGAAAACAATTTCGTCTCACGGGCAACCTCTGAAATTCCTTATTTTTCTTCTCTTCTCGTTGTTGTATCTATTCAAGATGACCGACCGTGATTGTACAACTTGCGTCAAATGATCCATGTGAATTTGCTATAGCCACGGAAATGCTTGCACCATATTGTGATGGAATTGACTTAAATTGTGGTTGTCCTCAACCGTAAGTTAATTTTCACTTATTTCCACCCTCCCCCATATTTAAATGTACTACTTAGGTTTGTTCATATTAAAACTATTTCCTCATAGTCGTATGCTGTTGATCCAGGTCAAGTTAGACACAGGCTACTTAGTGGAAATAGCAAATCAGTTTATAAGGCAGTTAATATTTGTCAACTAAAGTAGTTGAGATATGTATTACATATGTCTAACCACCGGCAACATCGATGTCTTAAATATAGGTAGCACAGTAATTGAATACATTGACTACTTCACTTATCTCGGCATTCTCATCAGTCCTGATGGTTTGATGTCCGACGAAATCTCGGCGCACATTCACAAGACTCTAATGGCTTTTGCCAACCTGCGTCACTTGTGGCGTAGACGAGATATCCATCTTCCAATCAAAAAGCGAGTTTACTGCGCAGCGATTCGCTCCGTTCTACTTTTTGAATGTGAAACATGGCCATTAAAAACAGAGGATATTCATGGATTACTAATATTCGGTCATAGGTGTCCACAAAGCATTGCTCATGTATTTTTGGACCAATGAGTAACCAAAGCCTAGGTTAGGAATAAGGTACTAGGTGAGGATGGGAAATTGATTGATGATTTAGTAAATCTTCATCATCTGAGGTGGCTTGGACATGTATTACGTATGCTTAACCACCGCCTACCTCGATAGGCGATGTTGTGTGGTGTGGGAGTAGGCTGGAAGAAAGATAGGGACGCCAGACCGACATGTGGCATTAGTCCAAGAAATCATTGACAAGTACCCTTCCTCCCACCTGGAAGTTGTGAGTGACCGCCCGATACTCGTTCGTAGGTTTATTTGTCTTGCTGGGCGGCAACATATTGTGAAACACTGTCCGAATTTTTCTTCTGAACATACACTCAGCTGGTAACTTTCCTTCTGGCACTGCTGGATCGGGGGTAACTCTGTCGGACATTAAGAATTTGCCGATCACTTTTTCTGGAATAACCTCTCCCCTTCCTTTGGCCAGAGCTCTTTTTATCGTATTCACAAATCTTTCTGCTTGGTCACTCGATTGAGGATGGTACGGAGGAGACTGTAGATGCGTTATACCATTTTCGCTGCAAACTTCTTAAATGCAGATGACATAAACTGAGTGCCGTTGTCAGTTACCAAGATCTCTGGAACCCCGAAATAAGCAAACCTGATAATTTTCTTATTGTACTCTCTGACGTCGTATTCGACATGTCATATACTTCCGACCATTTGGTGAAAACATCTACAGCAAACAAGTAGTTTCTACCCTGTATTGGACCGGCAAAAATTAGCATGTATTCTTTGTCAAGGTGCGTCCGGTCTTGGCCATGGTCGTGGTTCGGCTTTAGTGGGATTCTTTGCGGCCTCTTAATAGAACCAACAACTAGAAATGATGACTGGGTGCAACATGCTAACATGGTAAATCGCAAATGTGAGCGTTTTAAATTATCAGCAATGACAGAAGACCAGTTCAAGTGTCTTGTTTTTGTATACAGCTTGCGGTCGTCTGAAGATGACGTCATCTGAACTAGAATTCTGAGTAAAATTGAAGTGTCCAAATATAACGCTACAAGAAGTGATTATTGAATGTCAGAGGTTGGTAAACTTAAAACATGACACTTCTATGGTTGAAAACAGTGGCCGGCTACCATACGTACAGGTAATAAATGGCCAAGAAGATTCTTTTGTACGTAAGCAGAACAGCTCAAACAAACAGCTTCCATCCTCGTACTGGTTATGCGGTGAGTGGCACTAAAAAACGTTTTGCCCATATAAGGGCTATGGTTACACTAGATGTCAACATAAAGAATCTTGCTGTAAAAAGATGTATCGTCGTTCATTGTGATTTCATTCCAGGAGACATAAACCTTATTCACCAACCAGAAAAATAATGGTAACACGTACATCGAGGTTGACGGTCACCGTACCCACCTGCGGCTCGACACTGCTTCCAACATCACATTCATTAACCGAAGAACCTGGAAGCATATTGGAAAACCTCAGGTGGTCCCAACAACTCAGTTAGCCCATAGTGCATCTGGAGGGAAATTCGATATTGTTGAAGAAAGCCTGATCCAGCAAACGTTGAGGCTATGAAGACCATGCCTCCATCGACAGATGTATCTATTTGACGTTCCTTCTTGGAAATGGTTAGTTATTATGATGTTTTTCTCCCAAATTTGCATCGTCTCCGGGTCCCTGTGAATTAATTACTGAAATAGAATACCGAAATGGGTCCGGTCAACAGAACGCCAAGAAGCATTCTTAATTTTTCTACAAATATCGATTATTATCAACACAAAGCCTGTCACAATTGTGTGATAGCCCTAATTCCTATACCATATCAGCATAATAAAATGAGATTAACACAATGAATAGCAAGCTAGTTGAAGTAATCATAGTATTAATTATATTGGAAAAGATTAAATGTTTAGAATATTGTTTGGGAACACGGGATAAAAAGTTATGCATGAAGGAATACTGAAACTAAAGAAATAGCGGTGGATAAATAATAGAAGTTAGTAAAATTTTGTTGAATGAACACAGATTCAATCTGTTTATTAAGGTCGACTATCTTACAGAGCATATAATCCACTATTTGTTTAATTGATTCATCTCTCTTAGTATTGACAAATATTTTATCACTGAATTGAATAAATTATACAGTAGAGAAAATAATTAAATCGTGTCAGAAATTAATTACATATAATGCACTTACAGCAAAAAATATGAATCAATTGAATATAAAATGTTGACTTTCGAACCAGATTCAACTAGGTAATCCATTAAAATCCGTCGGAATCTTTGCCCTTGAAAATGTGTTCCTGTGACTACTAAGTGATCGATTAATAATAATTCATTTTATGTAGCTTAATTTTTTGAACCAAGTTACTGCCATGATCCATTTTATTTGATATTAAATAGCTATATACGGTCAGTAAAAATTCATATCAATCGGTAAACTAGAAGCTTTATCTCTGGGGTCTAAATTTTATGATAGTAGGCATAGAATCAACCAATTAGATACTGATGTACAATTTGAGAATTTATTTTCACAAACAAATGACTTGATTCCTACCTCATTGGAGGATCTTGCTCGGTTTAAAACCACATTAGTTGATAGCTGCCAACAGTACAAGAATAGTAAGGGTACCACAAATCACCTACTAACCAAGCAGCACCGAGACTCTAACGAAACTAAGAAAAAACGAAACCCTGACCATAACCAAACCAGATAAAGGAGGAGGTATAGTTCTCATGAACAAAAATGATTACATGGGAAAAATGGAAACAATGCTTAGCGATCCTAGCAAATTTCAGAAAATTACTAGTAATTGTGACATCAATAATAAAGTAGAAAGACAATTGGCCAATTTCCTTAAAGATCTAAAGAAAAAGGAAATAATTACGACCGAGATTCACGATTCAATTAAGCCGACTGGATCATTTACACCACGACTGTATGGTTTGCCTAAAGTACATAAATCGGGTCTTCCTCTACGCCCAGTTCTAGATATGTACAATTCTCCTTACCACAAAATTGCAAAGTGGCTAGTACGAATCTTAGAACCTTTACACAAATCAGTTGTTAGAAATAGTGTAAAAAATGTCTTCAACTTCACCTCCAAATGGAAAATATTAATGTTAGTATGAAGAATATGATCTCATTGGATGTAGGATCTTTGTTCACCAACGTACCACTTATAGAGACTATTGAGTTTATATGCAAGCAAATATCAGAAAAACAAATCAACATTGGCTTGCCTAACGATAGCCTAAAGGAACTGCTGCTAAGATGCACGCTGAATGTACATTTTGTCTTCAACGATACTTATTATAGACAGATAGACAGGATAGCCATGGGCTCGCCTCTAGGCCCGATTTTAGCTGATCTCTTCCTAGCAAAGCTAGAAAATGGACCTCTCAATGAGACTATTAAGAAACTTGATTTATATTGCCGCTACATTGACGACACCTTCATTATCGTAGATCAAAACATCAGTAAAGAGGAACTCCTAGACCAATTCAACAGTGTTCACCCAGCGATCACTTTCACTGGTGAAAGCGAGCATGATAAGAAGCTGAACTTCCTTGACGTCACACTAAGCAGACGAAGTGACGGCACATTAAGTAGAAGCGTGTATAGAAGAAACCCCTCTTCATGCCAATATACTCACTTCTGCAGTTTCACACCTATCCGTTACAAGAGAAATTTGGTCAGATGTCTCACTAGCAGAGCAAAAAAGATCTGTACAGTAGATACTCTAAGTCAGGAGCTTGAATTTATCAACAACTCACTGACCGAGATCGGCTACCCCAGTGCTTTCATTAAGAAGTACATGTATGACAAAATAAAGAAGTCGGAGATTTCGACTGTTCGTAAGAAACCTTTATACATGAAAGTGCAATTCAACGGGGATGTGGCTAGTGACACTCTGAAATATAGGTTAACTAAAGTAATCACCAGGACATTCTACGCAGCCAATCTTGCGTTGACCTTCTCTTGTCGACCAGCGATGTCTACTCAAACGAAGGATAAGTTACCTGAGTTGGCCTCTTCTATGTGCATTTACAAATTCAGCTGCTCCTGTGGAGATAGCTATATAGGGCGTACTACCAGGCAACTTAACCAACGAATGAGTGAACATCTACCAACTTGGTACATAAAGGGCCAGAGAAAATCTATTCGCAGTTCTATCTTGGCACATCTCATTGATAGCGGTCATGCTGTAGATAAATCGAAATCATTTCGAGTTATCTATCGTATACCTCCATCATTTCCCGACGGAGTTCGTTCCCGCCTCCTACATATAGCTGAAGCCATTGGAATTCGTACATATAACCCCAATTTATGTGTACAGAAGAAATACGTGACCCCCCTATCCCTTCCATGGCCAGTTATAACTTAACTAACGATTTTTTTTTTTTTAATTTTATTATTACCATTATTTATTTTATTCTATTTTGTTATCATTAACCTTATTTCCACATCCATTATTTGTTTGTAATTTTCCGCCTCTTTTGTATTCTTCACCATCTAATTATTTACACACATCTTATTACGTAATGATTTTAATGTTTTGTGATTACTATTCTTAGTCTATTTACCCATGTTTGTTTGACCTTCTATTTTCAATGTTTAACTATTGATAAGACTTTTGTTATCGTACTTTATTATTCTTACTATTATCAGTTCACCTGTCTTCCTACTATCAACTTGTACTTTTACCTATTATGTGTACAGACTTATTCTATTTCATTGTGATTATTGACCCATATTGCCTTGATTGGTTTACATTTTCGTATAAATATTCATGTATATTAGAGTAAAGCCTGATGACGATCTAATTGAAAACAACTGTTCGCTTATATGTGTTGTTCTAATCGGTATGCCGCCAGCTCCGGTTTTTTAATCTAGATGGCTACTGCTTCTGCCGTTTGAAAGACTTAGAATCTGAAAAACTTTGACAAAAATCACTGACTCGTTAAGTAATTGAGAAAGATTGACTTATACTGGCACTATGACCAATTTGCACTAAATGGACTAATATCGAGTTGTTCAGTTTCTTCATTAGACTTTGATGATCCTGGGTCCATGGAACTCGCAACCTATATGTGCCTTTTTGGACAGAATCAGAGAAACTCACTGAGTGTGCGAAGCATTTTCTTCTTCGTGACCCAGAATACAGCAGTACCTCTCCCGAATCTAATCTTTTCTATCCAGTCTGCATCCATTGGACTTCACTTATTCCGATAACCGCCAACTTGTATCTCCTCATTTCCACACCTATTTGATTAGTCCTCCCGGTCTGTCATATTTTCCGTACATTCCACATACATATATTGATTGTTGCTCTGGTTGCTAGAAGGGGCATCGAACTGGTGACTTCCACAGATTCTCGGCTTTCACCACGAGGCATCATAATTATTCTGAATGAAGATCCTTCAACTCGGAGAACAGAGTTCAAATGATTTAAATTGTTTATTCTGGTTAGCGTTTTTTTAGCAAGGTTGTTTTCTACGAAATATGGTTGGTGACCCTATACCTAACGCTCCTCTTTTATCCGGGTTTGTGACCGGCAGTAACCCTAGAAAAGCTGCATGCGGATGTTTTAAACGATATACTTGCCTTAAGTCTGATCACTTTTTGTATTATTAATTTAGATATATAATTGTAGAACCTGAACAGAATCTATTGAAAAGAATATTCTTCCTTCATGTATTAGTGTTTGAATACAAAATTAGTTAAGTATCTTGAACTAAATTTTTCATGCCATCATTATCATTTCCTATTCTAGCTGGGCGATAGGTAGTGGATTAGGATCAGCTCTATTAAAAGAACCTGAAAAAGTTGCCAATATTGTACATGCCGCTCGAAATACGATTCCACGATGGCGTAATTCTCATATGGAAAGTTGTAAAATGTTAGACTATATAGAGGATTCAAATAACGATAACAAAGCAGAAAATAAATTTAGGTCTATAACACGATCTCATGGTCCATTCTCAATTTCTGCTAAAATTCGTATACCAACTACAAGTGATAGATCTGTTGGAGAAGGAAGTTCATGCGATCCAGTTAGTGATAAAACATTTTCATGCGTTTTTTAACATTTATTTGTGCTCTAGATATAACTTAATTATTGAACTGTCTTTTTTTCAGATAGTATATTTCGTTCATCCGGTAGTAATATAGTTATATGTACTTTGGTGAAAGAATACTAATAGAGTAATCAAGGCTATTCATTTAAAAAAAAAAATCTCACTCAGTACCATTTTAATGTTCATCGAGAAAATTTCACTAGTTTTTATAAAATTACTAAGACAGAATATCTAATCTGTGAAAATTAAGGCCATAACTCAAGTGGTGGATACATCAACTATTAACTCATTACCTAACAGGAAACAGAACTACTCAGCAATACCATAATGATATATTAAAACTATTGAAGTGAACGAAGACTTAGTGGAGGAAACCTTCACTTTCACCTGTTAAATTGAATCGTTCAATATAAATTAATGGAATATAGACCTAATAACTTAATAACAATATATACCTCAAAATTTTACTAGTTTACTCAATAATTCAGAAATTAGGGGTATATTCAGCTTTTATATTGACAATCGCAAAGGTATTCTTGATATATTTCGGTTTGGATAAGACGGAAGTTGCAACAGTTAGAATCACTAGTATTCATGGAAAAAGTGTAATGCATTAAATTGTACTTCATTATTAAGTTTATTATATACTTTACGAAATTAGGTTAACTATTGAGTCAATAAAAAAGATATGCTTAATTCTTTTTGTATTTACTATATTCATACGGAAAAACTGTTTCGTTTGTAAATATCAGGAAATCTATCTTGCATTGTTCGGTTTGCCCGATTAACCTAGTCGACCAACCAAGCTACATCAATTTTTTTTCCGAACAACATGTTTTATGACTAACAGTACACATTTTTTTATATTATTTGAAACCGACTGTTAAGATGTCTGCTTTCAAATGTATGTTGATGATTTCATTGAAATTAGCTCGAAAATTATCTGCTCTAACCTAAATACAGCTACGGAATCTCAACAGTTAATGATTGTACCCTCATATCATACTAAAAATATCAGAAAGCAATTTGCTTAGATCGATGAGGAAATCACTGTCGCCATATCTTATGAAATTACTCTGAGATAACTGATATTTTATTTAGAAATCCTGATTGTAGTAGTTTCAAGTCGAAAAATACTTATCTTTATCAATATATATTTCCTAAACTTCCGTAGTACTTAGACAAAATCTTATTTTATATCGTTAATAATATCATTCCTATTGTACACCTCCTTTTTTCGATAAGCAAATAACTAGAAATACTAAATGGGAGTTAATAAAGCTCTTTTTTGTCAATCGATTTTATATGCTGGTTTTTTGTAGTTATCGGATTGAAAGACTGTATCAAGTGTAAATTAATTATAGATATTATTCCTAATTATTTTTTGTGTCCAAATATGAATAAATGTTTCTAATACATCCTAGTAATATGTACTACCTCTTCTTTAGTAGAAAAGAACGTCCTTAATGTGTTTAGTATCGTGTGTTAAATAATCTATGTAACTAAAATATACATTTTTTATAGATCAAACTTACCGTTGAACTTGTCCGACGTTTATCTGTAATGGGTGTTGACTGGGTTACACTACATGCAAGAACACCTCAACAACGTAGCAGGGACTGTGCTTCATGGAATGTGGTTCAAGAATTGGTCGACTGTAAAATTAAACATTCTTACTTGGGTACTGATATTCCAATAATACTGAATGGTGATGTCCGTGTACTAAACGATGCATATTGTGCTCAGGAAATGACCGGTTGTCATGGTGAGTCCTTAACTGGAAATGTGATATGTAAGAAAATGTTACCATACTACTTTTCTTTATAACAAGGTGATAACAACTGATCCCCTAAAATTCTTCACACATACTTTATGAACCAATTTTCAGATAGCTTCGCCGACCTAAGTAATTTTTACTACCGGGATTCTTAAATTTATCCCAAGTCGAAGCACCACTGATAGATCATTTAGGAATTAGTCTTTGGAACATTTTTCTCATACACTGAAGCTTCTCGACTTAATCACCTACACAGATATTCAAAATTCACACTTATATCGATTTTAAGGTAATGCGCCATTAGTGGTATATATGTTACCGACAAGTATCAATTATAGTTATTGAAAACCCAGGAGGTACCGATCTGCTGTTCCACCATAGCTTAAGACTCTTCAGCAATGTCCGTCAAACTCTCTTTGTCTGTAAACTGATAACCAGCCCAGAGATCAGTTTCCAAAGTTTGACCGATGTATTTTAACCACATAAAGAATGAGACAATCGTCACTGATGGTTCACATGGTTCTGGACGAAATAGAAGCATTCACTTAACTATTTTCTTCATATAGTGGCAGTGGATCACCGATTCCTCCACGTAAGTACCTAGGTATGTTAACAACAAAAGAGGAAAAGAAAAAATTAGCGAATCATAGTAAGATACTGTTTCAGTCCTTAAGAACATGTCGTTTCCTCTTAAAAGACTCCTGGGATGTCGCTTGGACTAGCTCAGCCGGCAGCGAATTTCAACATTTGACTGCTCTTAAGAAGTAGACGGTGTGTATACAGTCCATTCTGCTGTTTTGTGTCTCTAGTTTCTGGGTGTTACCCTTAAGCTTTGTGTTGGGAATAGGCTTAGGTTGGTGTTTAAGGGGATGCCTAAAAGTATTAAAGATGCTGTAAGTCGTTAGAAGGTCACCTCTAAGACTCCTGCACTCTGATGGGCAAAGGTTTGGTGACTGAAGGCGCTCTTAATACGATTTGGATTTGAGTCCCCGGACTGATTTCGTGGCTCGCCGTTGGGTACGTTCCAGTATACTTATCATTTTGGAGTGAGGAAGGAAATACTGTTTCCGTACTCTAAACGGGGTCGTATAAAACTGTTGAAGATAATGTGGAAAGTTCTTCCGTCGAACTGGTCGAAAATGCGCTTCTACGTTACCAGTGCAAGGTTTGCTCGAAAGACATTTTTGTCGTAGTTAGCGTATGACTTCAGATCGTAGGATAACAACACTCCGAGTTCTTTCTGAACTTAAGATAACGCTAGAGGGGAGTTACCTAAGTTGTATTTGTAGTCCGAAACATGTCTCAGATAGACTACTTTACACTTTGAAGTGTTAAAGGTAAGTTGTCATCTGCCCAACTATGAATTTGAGTCAGAACCTCCTGAAGTGCCAGATTATCCTCTTGTTGCATACTTCCCATCAGAGTTCCACATCATCAGCGAAAAGTAGTGAATCAGACGACACCTGCTGTGGAAGACCGTTTGTATAAGTCAGAAAAGAATAGGTCCTAGTACTGAACCTTGGAGGACTCCACTGGGAAGTTCCATAGCCTGAGAGAAAGTGAAGTTAACCCTGGCCCGACTTTTTAGATATGAAGTGAGTCAATCAACTAAAGGTGATCTGATAACTAATCGTTTGAGCTTATTGATAAGACATATATTGTCGACCCTATTAAAAGATTTTGAGAAATCAAGGTATATGACATCAACCTTCCCCTTGTAATTATGGATATTTGTCCATCTGTCCACCGCGGTCAGCAGGTTGGTTATACAACAGTGACCTTTCATAAAACCGTGCTGTTGGGGTGGAAATAAGTTTATGGATATTAAGTAGTCGTGTAAATCGTCACATATCAAAGACTCTGTAATTTTTGAGGATATAGAGAGAAATGCTATCGGCCGTTACCTCGAAGATTCGCTGCATCGACCTCGACCTCCGTTGAAAATTGGTGTTATGTGAGCCAGCTTCCAATTTCCTGGTGATGTACTTCGGTTTGGAGAATGTGAGAACATCACACTAAACAGTGTTGTCAAGATTGAAGCTGTTCCCCTCAGCATAATGGACCATATAAGGGCCAGGAGAAGTGTCTCTTTTTAGATGCTGCAGTTTTCGGTACATCAAATCAGCGTTCAGGTTCACTTCTGAGTCCCGTTGAGTTGTATGTGAAGCTCTCATCAATATAGTTAGTATAGGTTGGTTGAAATGTCCGAAAGTACCGCTCTGTGAGAAGGTCGGCGGTGTCGCTGCCGTTTTTGGTTGAGTCATTATAACCTAGCAGTTGGGAAACTCCGGTTTCGGCTTGTCGAAGAAAGGCTGCATGACAAAATAAGCTTTTCAGATTGGAGACAGATTTGTCGATAAGCTTTATCTGATACCAAAGCCTGTCTTCTCTTATTGCTTTTGTCCATATGTTCCTTGCTTGTTTGAATTGCTTGTATGCACAGTTGTTACCAGTTCGTTTGTATTGTTGTATGGGTCACATAAGTAGTATATAGCGGTGGTCAGGCATAGGATGTATTTCAGTGGAAGATGGAGAGGGAAAGAACGGGAACGGAACGCAATCGGTATGAAAATGCATGAACAATGAAATCTGAGACAATGGATTGATATTTGAAAAAGGAACAGTCAAGTTTAAGACTATGGATTGATATTTTGCAAATTAACTATTTACTATATGGTTCTCAGATTTTAATGAGATGCTCTGTAATTTCGTGTCGAATGCATTAGATTGTCCCCACTCGTGTTCTTGTTCACTACAATATTCCACCCAGTAGGGCCTTTTACGACTTAGCAATCGAAGAGTGCGGTTCTTGATTACTGTAGGTTGCTTGTAGATTTCGGGGACCAGCTAGACACCTCGAGGTGTTAGACAATTTTACTGAACATCATACAGATTCGTCAAGATTGATAGACTCTTAGTTGTGCGCTTGATCTACTTTCAAGCAAGATCGCAGGTGAAAGGCTACTCCATCCCCAATGCTGTTTTTCTGTCGTTGCGTAACAAAGAAACCCAGAGTATTGCTAGCTCATGGTTTGTAATTTGAGATGATATCCATGTTTCAGATATTCCTTCCAGTTGAGTATTGTTAGTATTACTGAGTTCGCGCATTTCATCCATTTTATTCGGTAAACTCCTGGCGTTCATATATAAGCAGTTTGTACTTTCAAATGAAAACGCGTGAGCTTCCCCGTCCTGTTTATCTGTATGAATCTTATGTGAATAAACAGGTAACCTATCTACACATGGTTTTCCGAGTTGGTAGCCACTGTCTTTTCTTTGTTCTTTTTCATGATTTTGATAGCCCACAAGCGGAATAGTCAGCTTGAGTTGGCTTTTGTACTTGATCCTGGCATCATTTGGCCTATCCGGATGTATATGGATTTCAGTTGGCGACCAGCGTCCGTTGGCACGAAATGCTTCGTAAGTTGTAGCCGCTATATGGGGAGATGGAGAGGTTATTTTCATCAGCCGAAGTCTAAAATCCCCGTCCATCTTGGCTGGTCTCACCAACTGTTGAGTAAATATCTTTATGAGCTTCAAGGATGAATTTGGAATCCCGAATATCGGAGTCTGAGAAGGCAGGGTTCACGTTTTCTGGCACACCTTGCACAATGTTATTTCTTCTGCGGGAAAACATCGCTCAAGACTCCTCAGGAATGCTCTGACGATATTGCCCTCAGAATACAGTATATCAGGCAGTATTCTTACATTCCCATCTGAGTCCAGTAAGTGACTAGCTAGCAGAACATCCTCTACGTCGGCAGTGTCATTGAGCGTTACACGAAGGAGTCCTTCCGTGTAACCGTCAGAGGCTCTATTTTAGGAAGTTTGAGCTTCCTTTTTAGCTCTTCCCAAAGCATTTTGTCCTCATTTTCCTGAAGACTAAGAGGAAGGTCAGAGCTTCTTTTAGGTTTATGATTATGAGAGAATCATCGCGAATCATTTTCACAGGTTTTCGGGTGCGTTCAGGTTGGGACCTTTCTACTTGGTAGTTGAAATGCGTTTCGGATTCCCGTGCTCTTTGATGACTGGTTGGATAATCTTAGGGGGAGATTGTACAGCCAAATCACCAGTTGGCTTCACTACAAAACCTGGAATGCTCTACTTTTTAGATGGTGACACTCGATCTTTTTAAATTTGTTGACGGGGTTCCAATGGTCTACAGAGTTTTTGGGGGCCACCGTTGGATTTAGGAAGGTACGAGTTTGCTGAGAGAGTCAAGTACTGTCAATGTTATGATGTTGCTGAGCTTCAGCATATCGTCATCAGTGTCGATACATGTTCTGTCGATATTGACGTTGTCGAGGTCCCTCTTCTTTTCCTCACTACGCGTCTTTGTTTACCCGTTTTAGGACTACGTATTTTCAGGTTTGCTGACGTTTTTGGTAGACCTTTCAAGAGAATGATGATGTTGCCTAGCAAATCCTCAGCATTCATGTTGCACGTACCACATACCCACCTACGACTCGATTTACTAAGTCTGTGAGATCTGTGCATGTTTCGTGGAACCAATCTTTGCATTTGCCACACTGCATATCAAAGGTGAAGGCGACGTGGCATCCGGGTCGCTTTCATGGATTCTTCACGACTATAGTGAATTGATTAATAGATTCTAGCTAACATTTGCAACTGTAAAACAAATAATAGTACACTCAGAACGGATAAAATGGGTAAAAACGGGTGGTGCAAAAGATTACGATACACTAAAACTAACGTTGACCTAAAAAACTGAAAAACCGAATAGTAAGCTGAGGCGAAAATATAGTCAACTTTAGCGTGGATAAAATTCAAAAAGAATGTTACCATCGGGACACATTCTTTGGATCGAAAATGGTACTTTTGTTGAGTAACAACACAGCAAAGATTTGAGAAATGCTAATTGAGTTATGCCTGGACTTCCCGTTCGTAAAGCGCTCTCTCTTTTGTGGAATTGGATAATCATTAAGCTGTATGAAAAATAGTCATTGTTGACCAATTGGTGTGTTTGGTGCTCGCCGTGAAACCTAATGGTTTTAGTCCAGTCCCTGTATTTGTATCTAAGCTCGATAATATTGCTGAATTTAATTATGACCCATCCTCAGATGTAATATTTGACACCTGGTTTCGACGTTACGAAGATATGTTTGATGTTGAGTTCGATCACGAAGTTTCTTGGAAAGTACGTATTCTTTAACGGAAGCTCGGTGCAGAAGAACTTGACAAATGTTGCAACATTATATTGTCTCGAAATCTACGTGAAAGAACTTCTGCAGATATTATCACTTCACTTGGTCAGTTGTTTGGTGATCGGTCGTCGATTTTTAATTCTCGTTATCGATACATGAAATTAGTAATGAACAAAGAGGACAGTTTTCTCACACATGTTGGAATAGTTAATCAAGACTGAGAGCAGTTCAAATTAAAAACTTTCTGAAGACCAATTCAATTCATTAATTACTTACCTGTAGTTTACAACTCGAAATATTTACGGATATTCGTACATGACTGTAACATCGTTTTCATCAGGACCTAACGTTAACACTTAATGAAGTTGCTGAAGGTTATCAACGATTAACGAACCTCAAACACGACACCAACTTAGTCCATTCCGGTGATCAAAATAGACTTGACGTTCAAGCAGTACAAAGTAAATGAAGTCCTAATTCCATGACCCCAGCATCCAAATCATTACACGAAAAACCATCAAAAGAGAAGCCTAAAGTTTCCCCGTCAGGTGCTTGGCATTTCGCAAGGTTCTTTCCGTTTAAAAACCATTACTGTTAGAAATGTTACACTGTTGGACATCGAGACTTATTACGAGCAGTAAAAGTTACCGGAAGTCAAATTTCCGAAGAAGGTGCATATCAAATATAAAACCATTTGAATGTTTCTCTGTATTTACGGTAAATCAAGTGCACAAAAGGCCGGCCAGGAGGCGTATTGAAGTTCTGATAAATGGCTATTTGATAAGAATACAATTAAATACCGCTTCAAATATCAACATTCTTTCCAGAAAAAGGTGAACTAAAAAGGGAAAATACAGTCTGCACCCTACAAGTCAGTTTGCAGTGAGCGCGGCAGGTGATAAACTGAAACTCATCGGAGTCCTATCGTTCTCAGTAACACTCAAAGATTTGACTATGAGTGGAATATGTTACATATCAGGTGATAACCTAAATTTATTAGTAATAAATATATTTGTTATCATATCCCGATGAGTAGAAAAATTGTATTTCTAACGTTTCATGACTTAAAGTAAGCCACTTGTTCAGAGTAAATAAATAACTTAATTAAATTAACACAAGTTTAAATAGTACCAAATTTATTAGTTTTAGACTGGTGCGATAGTTTTGGACTTCAAGATACTCCATTACGAAACGTATTCAACAAAATTTTAAATAAAGAATAGCAGCGGTATATCACAAAATCATAAATCAATTTATAGACTTTTTGCAGAAGGTTTGGAGAATTGCACTACAATGAAAGTAAATCTTCACTTGGAAAAATATGCAAATCCAGCGTTCTGACAAAAAAATCAGTACCTTATACATCATTACTGTATGTGGACGCAGAACTCCAACACCTAGAAAAACAAGGTGTTATATCACCAGTTTCATTCTCAGTTTTGGCAGCCCTTATAATAGTCACCAAGACACAAAATGGTACATTGTGGGTCTGCGTAGACTTTTCGACGGGATTAAATGCTGCTCTAGAACAACACCATAACCTTTTACCAACTCCGGATGGTCTTTTTACCATCTTAATCGGTGGAAGCTACTTTGCAAAACTAGATCTAGCTGAAGCCTATCTCTATGAAGAGGTCGACTATTGATGCCGTGAGTTACTGACCATAAATACATCGAGGTTTAGTTCACTATAATCAACTGTTTTTTGGAGTGAAGATGGTATCAGCGATATTCCAGCAAATAACTGGCATTACAAATATAGTCGTTTATTTAGACGATATATTCATGGTTACAATATCCTAAGAATTATATGACCGACTAAAAATCTGTGAAGTACCTCAGGTTTATATTTGTTAGCTTTCGACAACGCTCTGACCCTGAAAATATCCAGACTACCAAGAAAATGTCTGCCCCATACGATCCGCCGACTCGACGTTCGTTATTACTCCTCATTTTTCCCCTTCCCTACATAAAAAGCGAACACTACTTAATCATATACCTGGAAAGAATACCAAGTGGGAACGGACAGAACAGTGCCAAGTAGCTTTTGAAGAATTGAAAGCACTACTTGGATCTCATCTTCTACTAACTCATCACGATGCCACTAATATTTGCAGCAGATGCATCTGTATATGATGTGGTAGTTTCACACAAATTTTCAATGGAAAAAACAGTAATGCACTCATCCAGATCACTAACAAAGGCGGAAAAACGCTGGTGCTAGATCAAAAGGAAGCATTGGCAACTGTTTCTGCTGTATGGCGCATTTCGCAAACCGACTTCACAGGTGGGCGGCAACACTGTCCGATGGTTTATTTATTTAAACACATAAACATTGGTACAAGGAGGCACCAAGTAGATATGCACCACACAAATCATTCGATTTGTGTGAGGGCTGTGATACCCCCGGGTGCCCAGACCGAAGCAGGTGGTTTTCTTAGGGGGGCCACACCCCGAGCCTTTGACCTAAAGGTCTAACCCACAAGGCAGTGGAGCATCGTGAGGAGATACAGTCCCATGGTAGCCGGTGACCAATGATTGGTTCTTACGCCATTTGTTCCCGCAGGATACTGGAGCCCATGTGCACCATTGGTTTGTGATCCGGTTGAGGCGCCGGACATTCGCTTTCCGTCCTCTCAATTTTGTAAACAACGCCCTCGCCACGAGAAGGCAGTGAGTAGGACTTCCCTGGCAGAGGCTGTATACGCGTGGCCGTGTGAGAGCATTTCGAGAGAGAGGGCGGGCCCACCCCACTCTCGGCCATACCAGGGCATTTGGGGGCGTTCGATGGTTTCGACACTCAGTATCGTCGGACAGATTTCGGTCACGCGGACGCCCTATCGCTCAATGAGTAATTACCCCAATACTTATGAAGATTCTGTTGTTGCTGTGATTTCTATTACAGATTACGCAGACGAGTCTCATGGATGCAATGAGAGCCCTTTCCAAACGACTTGCCAGGTAGCAGATACTACAAAGAGGGAAACATTTCAACAGGAGATTCACTACCTTTAAAATAAACGCCTATCGTCCTTAGGAGAATTAAAACACCTACTCCAGCAATGGTAATCTCTGCGCTCAGCTGGAGAATCCCTTATGTTTGGAGAACGTGTAATGATATCACCAGATTTACAGGAGAGCATAGTATAGAAACAAGTTTCAAGAAACTATTTTTCTTCATCTTGCTGAACATTCTGAGCAGTTTTCAAAGGTGATCCTACCGATCGTATGTACATAATATCTGGATTTTCGCGCCTTTTCCGTTCTGATTGACTTGCCCCTAATGTATACTTCTACCACAGCCTCTCCCACCCATGAATTTTAATACTTGCACCAACTAGTTATAATCCGCCTTCCACTGAGTTTCCCCTATTATCCTTGGTGATGTCTTCTTGTCACAAACAGCACCTCTGCACTCGTTAATTGTAGCCACCACGACTACTGTTTCTGACATGTTGACTTGAAGTGGATACGTTTTGTAGTTGTAATATGTATATTCTAAGATTTTGCTGTTGAGCTACACTAAACATCCGTAGCCGTGCACTGAATCATACAATCTGCACCAGGAGCGCGTTTTCCTTGTAATTTAGCTCGAGCACCATCTTATGTTGACTGTTTGGTTGCACGACAGGTGTTTTTGTCGATTTCGCGGATTTTAAGAACCAAACATTGCTATATTTCACTTAGCTCATAATAGCGAGTTATCCCCACAGTGCAAAATTTATGAGGCCTACCTCGAGGCTATCAGTAGTGTATTTCAGCTCTTTATATATAAATATATATCAGTATTTAGAAACCCCTAAGGAATTGTTCTAAATCATTTACTTATTTCAGGTGTTATGGTTGGTAGGGCCTTGTTGAAATTCCCACATCTTTTTACTCCAAATTATATCGAGGATGAAAACTCACTTCGCTATTTATATGAAGATTGGTTACTTTTATCTACACAATATACAGGAGGCACAAGTTTTGTAACTGTTCATCAACAAGCATATTGGATGATGGAACCATTTCTGGACAAAACAAATAGATTAATTTTGCATAGTATTGGAAGTTTCCAAGGTTTAGCCGATTGCCTTTTTAAATATTTCAAGACAGAAAACAGCTGATTTGTATATTTTCTTTGTACAGTAAAGCATTTTCCACCTTAATTGTCAACCTATTTTCTTACAATTATTCTCAGAGTAAATACAACTGTTTCTAGATGACAAGTGAGTTTA